TTTTTCATCCTTAATACTTAATAGAATTGTTCATACAAAGTGCGAGACGCAATGCGAAAAGCTGCAGAATCGTTTTGCGAGAAAAAGACTCGGATTACAGAAATGTACCGTGGTCCATTGGTAAAAGTTGTAAAGTCGCACACAGCAGTAGTCGTCTGATCCTATGAATTTTCTTTCCGTGGAGTTTGTAAAGCGAAAAAAAGAAACGAGTGGGTGGGGACAGAAAAGGGGAGAAAGATGAAAAATACTCCGTGGATATGACTGTACAGCGTATTAACTTGTCCGGAGGTACATATATCGGGGATCCTTTTTCAAAACTGAAGTATTAAGGATTGCATATTGTACATAAACAAGACATATTTTCTATATAAGGGACGTCGCTCGGTAAAAAGGCCGATGGCTCGAAAAATACTGCAATATTATGATAATTCTTTCAAGCGGTAGGATAGCCTTTAATCGTTTTATGTAATGTAATGATAGAAAGAGGGTCTGGCAGAATAAAAGTGAAAGTTCTGTATTTAAACATCGTGTCGGTGTACATTCATTCACATACACACATACACACACACATATATATACGCACGCACACAGATGCGTTGCATCTTAAGAGATGCGCGAGTGATTCAATGATCGAGGATATTTAATTGCATGTACTTATATAATTATGTAGCTTACGAAAGCTTTGGATCGTAACGCATCGCTGCGAGAATAATCGACTTTAAGTTAACTGATAGATTACGGTCTACGTTGCATTCGGATGATTAGTAATTTTTGTAACATATGTCATTTTGAAATGAAGAAGATGTGCAATAGAATTTGAAGGATTTGGTAATTTACCAAGAATAAAATTTGAACAAGTTCGATCATTCCTATTTAGCACTAATGTAACCGAATGATCTCACAACGTAGAATTTAAACGGGCTAAAATGTAATGTATATATAAAATTTACAAGTAGAATACATTCGTGTAATCATGCATATATTTACTAGATCGTATATACTAGATAGTAATCTCATTTCTCTTGGGAAAGATCAAATGTACCAAGAATTTACATTTCCATCTTTAAGTTTCGCATCCCTTGTACATGTGAGTAAAGAAGTCAATCACAAATTTTGCAACGCATGTTTATATGTAAGAAAAATATTTATTATCGTTGTATATACATCAAGAACTTTCTGAATATTTATTCGTCATTGTTTTCTTTCTCTTGCTCTTTTCGTTGATTCTCCACCTCCTACAACAGAGGAAACGGAAAAGCAGAACGTTAATTGTCATAATTGAGCGTCAAATCTAAGAGTGGTATTAAAACAAATCGTCAAATTTCCCAGGCGTATTCCTTCGGCAATTGAAAGAGACGTACCCTCTGGATAATGTCCAAATAACGTCTGGATATTGTGGCGTTATCGCGCGATTGGAAAAACTCGCTGATCTCTTGCGGAACGCAGAAGTGCGCTCGCGTAGGAGACTTTGGTTGAATACCTATTTCCTCTCCAATAAATCGAAATTCCGGCGTGTCATTAATATGATTTTGTAATTCCTCGTATGTAAAGAGCGTTCCTTTTGTAGCCGATTCATTCATTGGACCAAAATCTATTATCTTCACCTTATCTTTTTCATGTCGTATGACATCGAAGGAATCTATAAGAAACAAAACTCTATTACACAAGTATACAAATTTAAATACTATTATTGACCCTAGTATAACGCTTACTTACAGTTACGCAGTGGAAATCTGCCTTTGATGCGTTCCAAAAACAAGCTCTTGATGTCTGTCTGTATACTATATTTTTCTGACTCGTTAGAACTGTGGTACTGCGATATATCTCTCTGACTTATAGCTGCATAAGATGCAATTTGTTATCGCGAAAGTTGACTTTGTAACAGCAGGCAGAAACGCGGAAGCAGTTGATACTAAATAAAATTTAATAGTTGAAAGAAAATGAGTTGATAACTTACCAATGAGTTCGTTGTCCACGACAAAGCAGCGAAATTCTGTACAAGGATTAATATCCCACCATCGTTTCAACACTAGGCAGAATGGCAAAGAATTCTCACTATCTCTCATAGATCTTGCGGTACTTAAATCTTTAGCAATTCTGTCGGAACTCTTTAGCAACAAATAGACTTCTTCTAAAGTCTTACATTTGAGAGTCTTTGTTGGTGCAACCCACATCGCATCCTGTAAGATAATCACTAATAATCGTTATAATGAATTATTACAACTTCTATTATAAAAACTATACTATATGAATATTATGTATATATTACACGAATGCAAAATTATATTACTAATTATATAATGATTTATCAAGAAATTATCTGATCCAGTAACTGAATCATTTGTTTTCAAAAAGAAATTTAGCTTTTACTACACAGTATTTTATAATATAGTGACTGATGCTTTTTCCTGAGAAAAAAAGGATTTTAAAAGTCTCTTTTCTAAAATGACTAACTCAATTGCCAAACAGTAATAACATACAAAGAAGAATAATTTACCATAGGTGAACTCCAGTTGGTTTTAATAAATATTGCATCATATTCGTCTAGCACATTCTGTATTTTTTGACTGAATTCAGGGAATGTTGGTTGATAATCAGCTTCCTGTAACACGTTTTAAACAAATTATTATAGTTCTGTGATAAATCCTTGTAATTGCACGGTTCTTTCAAATAAAAAGTAATGAACACCTCTTCCTCACCGGTCACCGGCGAACCATCAATCCACTCAGAATTCTCCGGTAGCGATTTCGTCGCTTCGAGAGGTAACACAAATGCATCGTGCTCCAGATATTTTAAAATATCGTCGGGAATGTGAATGATTGTAGCCTTCAGAGAATTTTTCTTAAACGTTGGATACCAGGAGGAGAAAGAGCACTCCGGTTTCAAATCACTCACCATCTTTTCAAAATTTAAAAATTTTTGTTTTTTTTTTAAGTTTATTTAAAATCTTGTTTTCTAAAAATTTATCATAATGGCATAAATGCTTTTAATATTCTCAATGCAGCAGTATGAAAGAGTTAGAAGTATATTCAAGTATATTGAAGCAAACTATGTCTAACTGTCATTGAGTAAAGAAAATAAAGTAAGATGGACAAACTTGTCACACGGTTCAAACTGCCCTCTCGACATAATTAGGCTAGTTTTCATGAGCTTGTCCTTAAATAAAAATATATTTAATTTTTAAAATTGCATTTAATGTATACTTCCTTGTATGATTTCTTGTTTTACAGTCGATTTGGAAGTTTTAATTCAACATTTCATTCAGATTAATATACATTTCTTTAGACAATGCTAATGGAAGCGAGCAGTCGACTTCGATATTTATGTTCCGTGGTCGACGTGAGCGAGACGGTGAATTAACGATCTCTTTTCCTCCTTTCCCGGACCTCCATTCGCCCCGTCACTGCGTTCGTATTGCACTGTTCTGTCAAACTCGGAACAAAAAGGGGCGAAGGTCCGTGTGCGCGCGCGAGTTGCGAGTGCGAGAAAGCTTGTGTGCGGGGTGGGGCCGCTTTTACACGAATTTCGTCGGTGTCGGTTGTCGAGGAAGATGAACTGATCGACCTGCATCCGTCACACGATTGTGGAGTTGTATCCTCGTGAACTTACATCGATTGTTACATTGTGAATCTGATCAGCTCCGAGACAGCTGCGGATAGCCAGCCATGGAGGACGATCTGCCGACTGAGTACGATGTGGTCGTCGTAGGAACAGGTATTGATTTTTATCAAAACGAGATAGAATCACGCGTCGCATTCGCCAAGTAAATGAATTTTTCGCCAGTAATTCCTCTCGCTGTCATGATTCTCGATAGGTATGACCGAATCCATCGTCGCCGCGGCGGCAAGCAGGATTGGCAAGAAGGTTCTGCACCTGGATAGGTAATGCATAAATGCCCGGCCGGTGCATCTTTTTCTTACCTCCTTCTGCATTGTGTCGTTGAATTACTCATATAATATAACAGAATCAATGAATATACTCAGAACTTTATAAAACAATATAAAATGTCTGAAAATTGTATGAAATAATTTTATTGCATTGATTATCATTGATGAACTAATGACACAGTGCATCATTATATGTGTATAAAATTGGTATATTAAGTATAATTGCTATTGTATTGAATGTTAAACATATTTTAAAGTTTTTTATCAGAAAATGTCAAAATTATATAACAGTTTTCTTATTTATTAAATAAAAAATAAAAAAGTAAGATAGCTTGATATCTTGATATCTTGATATCTTGATCTAATTTTTATCATGTTAAAGATAAAAGGCATATTTCTTAGAACAAAATTATTTATAACTGATATATTATTATATTTATTTAATAAGATCTGTTTAATGTTTCTTTATTTAGCAATGAATATTATGGAGGTCTTTGGGCTACATTCAATTTTGATGGTTTGCAAAAATGGATAGAAGATCTAAAAACAGCTAAAAGTAATACTAGAAATGCAAATGTTGATTTGGAGAAGAATGAAAAATTTTTAAAGGCTAGTGATCAATATTCTACAGTGGAGAACATTGAAGAAACCTGGTATATTTCCAAGTAAGAAAGGAATTGCATATATTAGCTATTTGATATTTTTGAAAGATATTTTGTATATTCTTACTAGTTTTCTTCTTACAGTGAAGCAGATTTACCTGATGTTTCCTCAAAAGTCACCCAGACTGAAATCTCTGGAGATAGCGCCAGTGCTGAGGGTGCAGAAAAGACTGATCAGGACAAGGCTGAAAAAAAGGAAAGCGTGAAACAATGGAGCATAGACCGTATCAAAAAAGAATATAGAAGATTTAATATTGATCTGGCACCTAAAGTAAGATTGTCACATTTGTAGATACATGTATTTATTTTTGGGGTATATGTGTACATATAATACGTCATTTTTATTTCAGCTATTATTCGCTCGTGGAGAATTAGTAGAACTATTGATTTCTAGCAACATTGCACGTTATGCTGAATTTCGTGCGGTCTCTAGGGTTGCCACTTATATGGATAACAAACTTACGCAAGTCCCTTGCTCTCGAGCCGATGTGTTTGCCAATAAAACTGTTAGCGTGGTTGAAAAGAGAATGTTGATGCAGCTTTTAACATCCTGCATGGAACAAGGTGCCGATAGTCCAGAGTTTGACGGTATGTAGCATGGTGTGAAAGACTCCCTTTATTGTTTCATTCTTAAGCTAATAATGTTCCCACTTCTTTAGGTTTCCGTGATAAAACATTCTTAGAATATCTTAATACGAAAAATCTTACGCCTATAGTACAGCACTATGTTGTACAAGCTATCGCAATGGCGACGGAGAAAACATCATGCAGAGATGGCGTTAATCGTACAAAGCATTTCCTCAATAGTCTTGGACGTTATGGAAATACACCATTCTTATGGCCTATGTACGGAAGCGGTGAATTACCTCAATGTTTCTGCAGGTACGTCTTTAATGCAAATATAAAAGAATTTTTCTCCAAAGCTTATCGTTATTTTTAAATAATAATATTCCGCATTTTTGCAGATTATGTGCAGTCTTTGGCGGAGTTTATTGCTTAAAGAGACATTTAGACGGCGTGGTAGTTAATGACGATAAATGTAAAGCGATTATTACCGGAAAACAGAGATTGGCCTTGGAACATTTAGTTGTAGGGCAAGGACACTTGCCACCAGAAATTGTAGCCTCTGAAGGAGAAAATCAAATTTCGCGTGGAATTTTCATTACTGATAGGTATTTTTCACGTGTAATTCTCTCATGTATAATTTTAATTAATATTATATTATATTCATATAAAATTTTATCGGAGATCACTTCGGTTTAACAGATCAATTATGCAAGGTGATAAAGAAAGTCTAACGCTTTTGTATTATCCACCGGAAGAACCTGGCCAAGAATCCGTTACTTTAATTGAATTGGGACCATCCACGAACGCTTGTCCTCAAGGATTATGTATGTACAATATTAATGCGAGTATACTTCAGACTTGAACAGTATACCTACATCATGCTTTTTTATTTTTCTTAGTCATGGTTCATATGACATGCAAACGTACGAAAAATGCAAAAGAAGATCTGGCATATGTCGTGAATAAGTTTCTGAGAGCTGAACCGCTTGACTCTAATGTAACACGTAGTTCTTCTGATTCTCATACCCAAACGGTTTCTCCCGATAAACGACATCTTCAGGTAAATATCAGCGTGTGTGAAGCTGGCGTATCATTTCGTAGAAATTCATTAATTATTGAGAATTCTGACTTTATTAAGTTTATTCAGTTTATTGAGAGTTCTGGCATACTAAATATCATTAAAAAACATTGACAGAAAAAACTTATCAATGCATTTTATTGAACGAGATACTTGTGAAAATTGGAAGTGGACCTAATATTGTTTTCTGAATTTTTTTTTTTGAATTATATTAGGATCGTGATCAACGAGAGAAGGAAGCAAGTGAATATCCATTACCTCAAGTGTTATGGTCTCTATATTTGAATTTACCTGCAAGTGATATTAAATTAAGCGACTCTGCGCCGAGTAATATACACTTATGTTCTGGACCGGATCTTGAACTCGATTTCGACTTTGCTGTAAATCAGGTATCTATCAATAATGTAATATAATAAACTATAAATAGATAATATTATTTTCTTAAGAGAGTGTGTTTCTCTTGTAACTATAGTTTATACGATTTTTTTAATATACATTAGTACAAAACGATTTAATTTCTTTTCAATTATTTTGATTATTTTGACACACATATTAAATGATAAGTCAATTATATGCAGATTTTTAAGATTTGTTTTTTATTTTTAGGCCAAAAATATTTTTAAATCTATGTATCCAAATGAAGATTTTCTGCCGCGCGCACCTGATCCAGAGGAAATTGTTCTGGAAGGTGACGAAACACCGGGCCCAAAATTCGAGGGCGGTGACCCCGCAGAAGGCGAGGAAAAGCAAGATGTCGAAAAGGCTGAGAAGGAGGAGGAATGAACAATTATCATATACTGCTTTTGCGTCTTCAGTGTTGAAGAGAAGATAAGGCTTTTGCGCCTTTAGTGTCTTTTACCTTTATCGTTATTGCATTTCCTTATAAACATATTCGAAAAAAAGAAAAAATAACAAGATAGAATACAAATTACGATGAGACAGTAGTAATGCAAGCGAAGTGACGAAGCTTTGTGACGTTAATCTTATTTTGAATTGTCCGTATATTTATTCGCAACATTTTTTCGTCTATATTTGGGATATTTGTTGATTCGTGTGTCTGCAATTTATCTCTTGCCTACACAAACACATGCTTTCAAATTTCATGTTTCACTCACAATGTGAGTAGATATTATGCTTTGGTAAGGACACAGACTCGTTAGAAGAGCACAAATGCGTTTACCAAGATAAATATGAAATTACAATGTGATTATTGTGAATGAATATCTTTATGTAATTTTCATATTTTTTGTTTGATACTTTATTGCAACTAAACAGTGAGTATTACGCAAAGAAAAAAATCGGATGCATTTTGAAATTCATTCCAAGTAGACATAGCACTCGCAATCATTAGATTAAAAACGTATCTTGTACACTATATAACAATATCGCCGGAGATTATAAGAAAATAAATAAATATGGTGTCACGCTTTGATACTCTAGTAGTTATTAACAGCATAAACCGCAACTTACATATAACATATTGTATGTGCACGAGCCATTAGTTATTTAGATAGACATCTTGACTTATTGGGATTGATAGTTTGTACTACATGCATTATAAATGGATATGTTATCTTCAATGCGCTTGTCATGATATATCTGTAATAAAAATGCGCAATCTAAACTCAGTTTAAATGAATAATTCGTTAATAATCTGATACAATTATTGTTTTCATTGTTTTGGAATAATTTTCTCAATAATTTTTTTGTTCTGTCGATGAAAAGAAAAGCGTTGATTAATTAATTTGTTTCAAATTCTTATACTTATGTGTAATTGCGAATGCGGTTGTACTCGTCCAACGTGTTTGTGGCTTAAATAGAATAATAATTTTAATAATTTTAGTATTTAACTCTTAATATTAATCGCTTTTAGCCTACCACTCACATACATCTTATAATTTATCTTCTAAAAGTAAAACTATACATATAATATAAAATTTTACAGCATTTATACCTATCAATATGTTATATTTTTTCATCCTTAAAAATAAGGGGAATTCAAGGCTGTGAGAGGTAGCATTTTTTTTATTTTAATATTTAGATATTTCATATTTTTATTTTATAAATACTTATATATGAATTCTTTCATTATCATGTATTTGTAGAATTACGGAAAATTGTGGTAACATATATATGAATTTAAAAGTATGAAATTGTTAAAACATTGTTTTTAATATTTTTTATTATTGCAAATAATATGAGAAGAGCAAACTCGATTATTTCAGTTAAATGATACATGAATGCATTAGTATTTATAATATACATATATATATTGCACACTTAAATATATATATATAGTACTTTTTAACAAAATTACGTCTTGTTTTTGTTTATATATTGTTTCTTTTAAAATTATATAGCATGAAACTGAAACTGAAATTGTCACAAAAAGTTTGTATGATTTAATATATTTCTTACATAAACTATGTTAATAAATCTATACTTCTATTTTTGTGTTTTTCTGAATACACATATGAAATAAATTACTTGGTACATTTTTTTATGTTGATAACTCACAATAATATTATATATCAATAAAAATATAAATTGCTAAATATGTTATAACTTGCAACACAATCATGATTTTAAAATGTAAAAGCACACATAGAGAATTATACATTCACAGATTTGATTTATCTACTATAATTAGCATGGATGCTTCGTCCATGAGTATTTTCTCTCTTTATTTCTTATTAAAAATAAACTATCATGATTTAAGAGAATTATACTCGATAACTATGCTTTATATAAACAAAGATATATGTGTATATTAATATTGGATTATTTGTTTATATTAATAGTGTATAAATACATACACTTAGCAACATTAAATTATATTCTATATCTTACAAGATCCGTCTTATATTATAAAAAAACTGCACAAATTTGGTAAATTTGTAGATAACAATAGATTGTCAGCTCTCTATGTTTAATCAGTCTTAGATTTTACATGTGATCCACAGTATTTCATTTCTGCCATTGTAACAAGTTTACAAATCTTCATTTTAATATCTGCTTGTACTTCTGTAGGTAAATTCAACACGGTCTGTGCCATACTCTCGAAAAATAATTCAATACTACTTTTACAGGGCAGGTGCGAAACTGTTTTAGCCTTGCGTAAACCTTTCTCGGTATTTATCTTGATGTTTGAATTTTCAATTGCTTTTTCATTAGTCTTACTTTCCTTTGATATAGTACTTCTATCATTGTTGTCTACTGTTGTTTTGCTCAAATCATTCAAAGTTATGTTTTGTGTTTTATCTTTACTTGGTACAGTTACGATAACACGATTTGATGTTAAAGTGGACATGTTCAACATAAGTGGTGTTCCAAACATTTTGTGCCGGAGTAACGAGGCACCAGGTGGAAATGGCTTTGGTCGTATCGGACGATAACGGACCTTTTTTAACCCTAATTCCGAATCCACTGTAGAATAATTCACTTTCGATGTAGTTGAAGACTGTGTCTTGACATCTAGGCGTTTCTTCCTAGGTCTGCCTCTACCTCGTTTCGGCGGACGATATTCCTCCTTCATGACAACTGGATGGATTTTCAAATTTTCAGTTTCAATATAATCTTCAATTTTTGGTGACTTTTTTATAATACTCTGATCGATTTCCTCAAATGTTTCATCATAAGTCATTTCGTTGTCTTCCATATTTTAACTGTTTAATGGACTTCATTAAAATGCTTCGCTTTTTTATTGCTCTTTGATACTGTAATAAAAATTATTAATATATTAATATATTGAAAAATATATAACTTATCTACTTTTTGAAGAACTATATTTTTAGAAAGAAAATTTACACATACACACGTATAATATTAAATTTTCGAGCCTTGAATTTTTTATAATTTACATCATTTTTTTATATTAGATCTTTTTTTAAACGACTTTATTTTATTACGTTTCACTTTTACAAAGAAATATGAAAGACTTTTGATATTTTCTCAGATATAAAATATTTACGAAAGAACTGTATTTTTTATTGCGCAAACACTCGAAAATTAGAAGCAAATACACAGCTTGTAAATAGCTTGTAAATACACAGCTTTTATTAAACTTATTGTTTACATAACGTATGTAAAGAGATAAAATCTCAGTTGATACTTCAGATGGATTACCGATCAAAGTAAAAAGAGAGAAAATTATTTACTAAAAATAAAATAAAATCTAAATATAAATTTTTCTGATTTTGTTAGATTAATCAGATATGTATGTGATATCTATACGTACGTAATAATATGTGAAATAATTTGCTGACGATACTAATGTTTAACCCCGCTATGATGTATGCAGTACGAAATCCATAAACAGTCATGGAAGATTTATACATACTGTTTTTTTACTCGATGCACAGCATTCAATAACCAATCAGAAAATTTATTTTCTAGTGACAAATCTGGCATTAAGCAAAGTTTTCAGAAAACACCTTTTTCTACTGGATATCGTGAATTGGATGCAGTATGAACCTTTCTTCAGGAATGGCTTTAAATGCTTCCGAATCAAAGTTCCTTATCTAGATATTCACACACTGTGATTGTTGTTTCAAGAAGGAATTAGCAATGTATTTTCCAATTTTAGAATAGTGTAAATTTTGAAGAAATAGAAATTCGAAATGATTGAATCTTGCACAAAGAAGCGAATGTTGCTAGGTATTACATTTTTAGGAGGGTTAGTTGTAATTTTTTATATATATTTTACTAATAGCAAACAGATAATTGGTATTTAAAGTATAGGTTAAAGCATTTTTATTAATCTATTTATTTATATTTTTATGTTTGTTATTTTATGTCTACTATTTTATGCTAATTTAATTTTATTCTTTACAGATTAACGGTTTTAGCGTTAATTATCGAAAGTCACTGGACAGATAGTTCAAACAAACTTTACATTGACAGTTTCGAAAATAATTCTTCTTGCATCTCGGGTGAAAAATATGAGGTGATTTCCGAATGTCATCCATGTACAGCCTTTGAGATTGCAAGCGAAAGCATTGGTGTTTGTGTTTATGCGAGATATAAGGAAGTGCTGAAGTGTAAAAGTGGAGAAACAATAACAAGAAGGTAAAGTGCAATGATAGGATTTAATATACATATTCATATAATAATGCTGTTTTCACATGATATATTTATGTTACAGTTGCGACAAAGTAGCTTGGCTGGAAGAAAGAGCATTTTGGAAGTTTGAAGGGTTTATGTTTATTCTGGCAGTTATTTCTTGTTTTAGTATACATTGGAGACAGAATATAATAAGGCAAAGAATAATAAGGAAGTTTTGCTACTTTCCTTAGAAAAATAGCAAACAATTAAGGATTAATGTGTGAGTGTGCAAATTAAGGTTTGGTATACATTTTTATATGTTTTATATATTTATATTTCTCTTGGTTATTTAAAAGAAAAATGAGTGAGATATATTTAGCGATATATTCTATAGCAGACTTATGTCTTGCTCCGATAGAAACAATAGTAACTTTGTTTACTATAAAGTATTGTGAATCCTCGATTAATATCAAGCTAATACCAAGTAAGCAAGACTTAGCTGAACAAGCATATACGATAGATCTATCAAATTTTGTTTATGAAGTTGTAAATATTGATGAAATACCTTGTTATGCAAACTCGTGTGAATTGCCAAATGTCTCCTTAAATGAAGGTAGCTGTATGGCTGGTTTGTGCACAGTCTTGAGGCAGATTGTAAAAAGTGCAAGTTCATATTCAATGCATTACTCTAATAAATTGTTGGGATTTAAAGGTTCCTGCTTGATGGCCTGTTCTGAAGCAAGCGTGTGGACTAAATTTTGTGAAATTGATTTGATTTTAAGTCTAAAGTCTTTACATACAAAAGATATGGAAAAAGCTGAATTGCCCACTAGTTTAGCCAGGTTTGAATGTCATATGTCTCAACCAGTTAGGTTGCATAATCTGTACAAGTATACAATGTGCAAAAAGTTTGCTGCGCTCAATATAGCTATACAGGATGAAACAGGTTTGCCAGAACACACGTACGCAGAAGGCGCATGTATTACATTATCCGATATAATCATATTTGTATGTATTCACATTCTATTGAATACATTTTCAAGCCAGACGATATCAAAATTGGTACCTTTAACAGCCAAGTGGTATGAAAGAATGCTGGCAGATCAGTTCATAATAAAATGCTTAAGTTGCCTGCCTTTATTGAAGAACCATACTTTAAGCACACTCCAATACACACTTCCGACTGTAGTAAATGAGAGTTTATATAAGAGTGATCCTAAGCGATACAAGCCAAGAAATCGTATTTACACGAGGCAAGAGGATATAGAACATTCGTTGCAGTTGGTTAAAGACATGAACATTTCAATGGCTCTCGACGTTGAACCGTTTGGTGCAGAAGTAGATTTGGATTGGTCTGTTGTGCCTTTCGACGCCACACCAGAAGGTGGTTCATTGCCACCCGCAAGATTGCAACGGAAGCAAGAGCAACTGCAGAACTTGTGTAAATCCGTCTTGAAATTGGCAAAAGCCGGAGACACTATCGTCGATTTCTGCTCTGGCAGTGGACATTTGGGAATCCTGATAGCGTACTTATTGCCTCGCTGTACAATTATTTTGCTGGAGAATAAAGAAGAGTCATTGAGTAGAGCCAAGAAGCGGGTGGAAAAATTGAAACTGACGAATGTTAAGTTTTGCCAGTCCAACTTGGATTACTTCAAGGGAGATTTCAACATCGGCACATCATTACACGCCTGCGGCTTGGCAACGGATTTGGTCATACAACGTTGCATACGAAAGAACGCAATTTTCGTTAGCTGTCCATGCTGCTACGGCTCGCTGCAAGATAGTCATCAGTTAACGTATCCGCGAAGTGATGTTTTTAAAGAGTATGTTAATAACAAAGAGTATTCGTTTTTAAGTCATGCCGCCGATCAGACGCACGATGAAAAAAATATTAAGACCAAGCAAGGCTACAGATGCATGACGATTATAGATATGGATAGAAAGTTGTATGCTGAACAATTTGGGTATGAAGTTCATCTTGCGAAACTAGTACCAGAAACATGTACGCTTAAAAATCATTTGTTAGTTGGTATACCAAAAGATAAGTTGATGCGCGGCGATGCGTGTGAAAATTAATCGGTTTTCTGGATATATCACATTCTTTTCCAAATAAATGATAAATTTACATTGAGAGCGTTAATTAATTATGCTAGAAATCTTTGTTTATATTAATATACAAATATTTTATATTACGACAGCAAAAATATTATTTATTGACAACATATAAAAACATTTTTTGTATATATGATTATGAAATATAATTTTATAATTAATAAAAACTTCTGAAAAAAATAATAGTACAATTTAATATATAGATTGCATTTTTTCAGTAGTACAACTCAATGTCGAGTCAGGCGATTTAGTTCCAATAAAATCCGTCATCGGCTGTGAGAATGAGAAATCGTCGTTTCAAAATTGACCGATGTTGCATATGCGTGCGCGTGGAAAATGTCACCCGGCTCTTGAATTTGGTTTTAACATGAAATAAAGTAAGAGAAAATCATGATTAGAGTCGAACGACTCGCGATACAAAAGCGATTTTTATGAGGTGTCTCAAAAAGCGGCGGATTCATTGCTGGAATTCGTGTATCTGATTGAGGTTATCTTTGTCGCGAGTTTATTTCTTATTTTCTGTTTTTTTAAATGGAAGAAACTACGTGCAATTCGCCGAAATCACGTTCAGATGAAAATAGCCATATCAATGAGCCAGACACCGAAACATCCTGCAAAAATGACAATGATACGGAACGTTGTAATGGGGAACGTACACCGCGACACTCCGAGAGATCCATTGACAACTCTATTTTCAATACTATTTCCAAAATTGTTAATCCTACTAAGGTAAACTTTTTATTTTCTTGTTTTTTATTTCTTAGAAGATTAGATTTTTATGATACCATAAGTTAGTAATTTTTAGAAGATCCAAATAGAAACATACAACTTGTAAAATTTGTTATTTTTGTCTTTAGTTGATATATTTAATATTATTGCATTTCTACATTAGGTACCAGACATTCAAGATTTTAAGATAGTCAAGCCGATAAGCAGAGGAGCGTTTGGTAAAGTGTTTTTGGGATACAAAAAAACCAATCCGGAGCAAGTGTATGCGATTAAAGTGATGAAGAAAAACGAAATGATAAATAAGAACATGGCGTCACAAGTAGTAATTGAGCGTAATGCGCTGGCTCTGACTCACAGTCCATATTGTGTGCAACTCTTTTACTCCCTGCAATCTGTCAGCAGTGTGTATCTAGTCATGGAATATATGGTGGGTGGCGATCTTAAGAGTCTGCTCGGTGTTTATGGCTTTATGGAGGAATCTATGGCAGCTTTTTACACGGCGGAAGTATGCTTGGCATTGGAGTACCTTCACTCGCATGGCATTGTGCATAGGGATCTGAAACCAGACAACATGCTTCTCTCGCGCGAAGGACACATCAAGCTTACAGACTTTGGCCTGAGTAAGATATCGTCTTTGCATAGAGATCTTGAGATATCAGATTTAGTGAATCCTCTCACTCCCAGTCTATGTGCCAGGACACCCGGCCAATTGCTCTCGCTGACGTCTCATCTCTCCTTCGGTTCTGGCCAAAAGTCCACCAATGAATCGAATCTTAGCGACAGAAGCACACCTATGAACTTACTCGCCGTGCTGCAGAGAAATTGCACGAAAACTGTGGGGCATATGTCGCCGAACTCCGCTATTTCTTCTGTCGCATCTGGAGATTATTCTCGAATATCCGGTGTTACGCCTTTCCAATCGGCGGAGGATTTGCACTTTGAGCATAGCAATGATGAACAAAGTATAGAAGAGGATGAGGATACTGTACAGAAGCATGAAGATGGTCCAGATAGTTCCAGCAGCTTTTATACCTGCGAAGTGTCGTCTTCCAACCAAGCAAACAATCATACCGTTCAGAATGTGGAGGAGGAAAAGGACGAATCCACGCTCGAAGCGGAAGAGAGTCGACGAGAGTCGCAACAGCGATCCCTTGAGCACACCAGTCCGGTGAGTACTTGTACAAATTTATTCGTGATTCGGGGATCGAAAAGAAAGCGACCGGATGCGGCGTGTGCATCGACCGGCTTAACGTGCGAGATCAACGCGATGGATTTAGACATCGATAGGACACCCAAGAGAAATAATCGCGACTCCACGTTTTCCTGTACGAGTCCGACAATCAATGTTACTTCGATATCCAAAACCGTGGATATTACTGTTGATATGGCGAATAATAATCGTAGTAGGACACCGTCTGAGAGTCAGGACGAGCAGGACACCGGCTCTGCGGGTAGAGTAGCTTTCAGCACGCCCGTATCCTCCACTAAACAGAGAGGTCGCGACAATGAAAAGCAGCAGAAGCACCAGGAGGAAGAGGACGCTCAGACCTTTATAAAGACGAGATTTCGCCTGCCGCCGCCGCCCACGTCGCACTCCGCGCCCGAGATGCATACGGACTCGGACAACACTTCCGATGGCCATCGTTCGCCTCAGGGTATCTCACCTATTAAGACACCCGCGACTTCGGGCAACGGGTGTTACACGCCTTATAGAACACCCAAGTCCGTCAGAAGAGGCGGCCAGGGTGGTGCCAATCGGTCGGACGATCGCATACTCGGCACGCCTGATTATCTCGCTCCGGAACTGCTGCTCAGGCAAGGTCACGGACCGGCTGTTGACTGGTGGGCACTGGGCGTATGCCTATATGAGTTCTGCACAGGCTTACCGCCGTTCAACGACGAGACACCACAGGCAGTGTTCGCAAACATTCTCGCGCGCGATGTTCCATGGCCGGAGGACGAGGAAGCGTTATCAGCAGCGGCAACCGACGCCATTGATGCACTTCTCACCTTGGACCAGACAGCACGCCCTTCGGCGAAGGAGGTGCGTTCCATGAGTCTTTTCCGCGAGTTCCCTTGGGACGAGCCGTCGAAAGCGACACCTCCTTTCATTCCGCAGCCCGATGATAAATACGATACATATTACTTCCAAAGTAAGTTTCGCTTCGATATTGCATCTTTGTCATTTCAGGAAGAATATTGCGTGACAAAAACAAGGATCAAGACTTGAAATATCATACACGATCTATTGTCAAGTTTTAAACAGAAATTGGAACGATCTTATCAATGAAATTATTAGAGTTTTGTTGCTGCATTTAGCATCAGACAAATCGCCTTGCAAAATTTGAAACTTTATATTTTAATTTTGAATTTTTATACTTACATTGCATTGTTATTTCCTAAATATGCAATATTATTTCTTAAATGACGTTAAATCTGCTATTGGTGGTGTTGTCGATAGGAGATAATAGGAGAATTTTTTTTGCTTTTAGCACGAAATACACTGCAGCAATTGAATATAAGCAGTTGCGATACGTAGCCTTATGCTCTATGCAAGACGTGGCAGGAACAGAAGCCTATGATGTCAAAACTGTTGTCATGTAACTTTATTTTTTATATATACTTGTGTATGTATAGTAATATAAAATATATTTTGTTACTACTTGTAATCACCGTGTTCGCTCACTTCTTATGTAGTAAATGGATGATGATGACTTCATTTAACGATAAGAAAGCGTGGAGCACGATGATGTTGAATGTTTATAATTAAAAAGATGTCATAGCATCAAATTTTCTTAATAAAAAGACGACATCTTATCGCTTTTCATTACGAAAGCAGATATTTTTGACATTGCTACGAAGCTTATCGAATGACAAGTACGATTTTTAGGGCTCAACAGTTTCTATCACATTTTTTCAAAGTGAGTGCAATCGATTCTGCATTTCTCCGACAATTCGAAGAAACTTATGAAAAAATAGCGACTATGCGAAAAAGACATGGCAGTAGATATGTGTGTCGCATGTCTTCTACTTTAGATTTTTAGAAATCCAAGGCAAGAAGTGCGTTACTCTCGTGTACACGCCAGGATATTGTCCTTTGCCGCATCCTATACCCCAGCTGACGATGCCAACCTGGACCCATCGCCCGTCGTTGACCATTAAAGGACCTCCACTGTCGCCCTGTAAGTGCAATCATTAATTTTCATAAAATTTAGTTTTAAACACCGTATTTATATCTCGCATCACCGTATAAATGAGACTAATTATAAATTTTATTTTATTTTAAAACTAACGAATTATATATTTATTAATTTATCAAATTAAATTACCATTCAGTCTTATTGTGAGCTAAAAATTACACGGCCGCATTTGGTGTTAAAAATGAGATATAAATGCGAAAACAAGATAACGAATATGCGAACACGAACCGAACATGAGTCCTTAGCGGCTCGACCAGCACATAGGAAACTATCGACGATGCCTCCGGGTGCTGCTGCACCATATTTCAATTTACACTCGCTGTTTGACCAAACTGGTATCGATACTTCCTGTAAAATCGCTGGTTGCGGTCCACCTAATTGAATAAAATAATCATTATCAATTTTGAAGGAATGTAGGTTTTCAAAGAGATGTTCTAGAATTCTATTCGTGAATAGTAGCGTTATAAACGCCGTGATCGTGCTGCGAGTAGCTATGCAAATTGACTCTTTAGAAAGTATAAGTAGGAATACTTGAAGGAGTACACAAATGTTAATTACATACTTGTTATTCTAAGCTAAAACAAAAATTGTCTTCGCTGAACGACCCGCGTCGTTGAAAGCACAATAGTGTAAAAAAATATTCTTACTTTCTCTCAAAGAGCCCCAGCCAATAACGGTAGCTGTTTTGCCAGAATACAGTTGTGATCCGCTAGGAAGACAAATAGGCCGGATTTGTTCAGTGAATTCCACAGGTTCGTTCAGTGTGAGGAGTGCCACGTCGTTGTAGAGCGTGCGCGAGTTGAAACCGCGGTGTCTCACGACTCTCTTCACTCGCCTTTCGATGTGACGAATCTCGGTGTTTGTCTTTATATTGTAATCACCGAGGCGTACCGTTAACCTTGCAACATCCCATGAGTTCATACTGAAACAATATTACATTTTTGTCAAAGAGTTGTATTTCTTTTATTAGAAAAAGTCAGACGCTATTTCTTCTGAAACTTTTCTCCCGCTTTTACGCAAAATTATTTATAGTGAAATTGAATTTTCTAGAGCCGCTAATAGTGGAAAAATCTCATTCCATTACATTCTTCCATTTCAATTGATAAAAGTGTTAGCTTATAATTTGCAGAATATTGAGAAATAAGTTGAACTTGCTTCGCGACGCAGTGCGCCGCTGTCAGTATGTGTGTATCGTCAATGAGCGATCCGCCGCAAAATTGCCGTCCAGCGTTGAAGAGCGCGGCGATCCACGGCCATTCGCCCGGATCTGCGTTCTTTCCGCCGACAATGCGTTCTTGGTCCTGGTTGCCGTTTTTCGCACCGCATTGCGAGGGATTGGTACTGCTGATCGGGGACTTGCTGGTCGTCGACGTGGACGATGACGAGGCTGGCCACCAAGTTGGTTTCTTCGTCGGCCACGTAGTGGCGAGACCGGGCTTCTTGGACGTCGTGGTTATCGGCTTCAACGTGGTGGACTGCGTCGGTAGACCAGGCGACGGCGGATGGGTCGGTAGCGGCGGTATCGTGTGGTCGGGTGGATGCGTGGGAATCGGCGGTGGCCAGGTAGGCGCAGCCTGAGGACGCGCTATCCCTGTGTTGTGGCCTTTCTTCTTGTTATCCTCAACCTGAAAACGATTTCAGCGTAATGAACACGCGATGGAAAAAGATTCTTCCAGGAATAGAACAAAAGGAACAACTATCGTGGTTCCGTGCCGGACGTAGAAAATGCGCGAACACTGAGTAATAAAGCGAGTTGTAAAATTGTATTGTCGAGTCGACAGGGATACGACTTTCTAAGCAGGCTGTCTAATAATAAGCTTTAATTCGGATCACGTATAATTTTTATGAGTCCCCCGTAGCGAAAGTGATAGCCGCGAGCAGAAAACAAACACGAGTGTCAATATTAGATCGTGGAATTAGGTCGTTAATCGTGTGACACACTCGGATGCCTTACTTGCGGATCTTCCACGGTAGGATCGTCGCAGTTGTCAGGATGGGGTGTGACGAAGGGTTGTAAATTGGAGCAACAGATGCCGAAACTCGGGTGTCCGTCCTCGCGGATGTAGCTGCATGTGTCGTAAACGCCGAGCACCCAACCGTCGAGAGCACCGAGGTCTGGTATCTTGAAGTACGGATAGCACTCTTTGAAGGTCGTACAGCGACCGACTTCGCCTTTTGACGTTAGGCAGGTCTCACGAGTCGTGGCTCCGTTCCAAAGAATACCTCGACCCTGCCTTGATCCGAGTTCATCCGGATCGATCGCAGCTGTAAATTAATTTTTAACATATTTCTGTATGATTTTCTCGCAGAGATATTTTTCATGTAATATAATCATAAATGTAATCATTCTTGCACATTTTTTGATAGCCTGCTGTTATCGCTACTCTTTTATGATTTTGTGGCACAATAGTAATAGTTTTTTTGGAAAATTTCATTCAAGTTTGTTCAGGTGTTCTCCTTCTCTTTATTTCACTGTCCGTTAGAGTGACTGTATGTTATCATGTTTGCCATCGCAAAATCAGGATGCATTGAGCATATTTATCTTAGCACGTACTCGAATGCTTACTTTAGCATGTATTAATGTACGCGATGCGTACGTTTTTCTTATGTCAATCAGAACTACAGAAAAAACAGTGATAAAAATTATGATAAAATTAAAAAAGAAATAATATGCTATTCATGAAAATCTGAACTTAGATTCGTACGGAATAAATTATTATCACAAATACGCATTTGATATTTCTAACATTAAATAATGAAGTAAATTAAATTAAAATAAGTTTAGCAATAAAAATTCGCTTTCCGCGATTTTTAATGTGAAAACTTATTGTTAAAAATGATGTACGAATAAAAGTATAATTGTTTTTAAGCTGACTTGATGCTGCCGGTTATGTAAAATTTATTTCGCGCGACGAATAATCGAAACATTAGAATAGAATTCCATCGAGATACTTAGCAGCGAGTTCGCTGACCTACGCGAGATACACACAGGTGCACACGTACATCGAAGGTGAGGTTTGCGGGCGCCGGGAGAACTTCCGGTTACCGTGCGAGGACGCGCGAATAAATATTCGTCAATTGATACTCGATATGTATTGCATCTGTTAGAGGATTTCACGGTCGTCGACAAAGAAAGTAAGGAGTCAATAGCAAAGAGGCGTCATTGACCATTCGAGAGACTTGACAAACCAGCGTGTCGTTTGTTTTCTTGTGTGTGGCTAATAATTTCAAGATGATATATGATGATATAACTTGTATAGAAGTAACGAGTTGTCGGAACAGTCATTATGCATGAAAAAAAGAGGATAGAAACATTGTTTTTTTAATGCGTATAAAATAGTGGTTTAACATCTTATATGCGATCTTATGCAAAGGATGTCCTTTCTTCGCTATAAAAAACCTATTGAATTATTTAAATTTTTAGAGGAATTCTTAGGTCTAAAAAAACGATTCTTTGGTTTAAATCTGACGCAAAAGTCTTACTGAATATTTTTTTCCGTATTGTTGAATTAAATTTTAACTAAATTAGGTAGCTATTTTTTAATGATTAATATAAATAGAACAATTTTGCATTAACATTAAAAAAAAATTTAATTTTAGTTCTATTGTTTGTATTCGAAAACTATTCCAAGAGATTGGTCCAAATCAATGAGACAAATAGGAATACTTCTCAATCAAACAGGCTGTCAAAACATCTAGACATGCTCATGTCAGAGACAAAAGTGGATAAATCGGAAGCGGAAAATCTATCTACAATCAAGAAACGCATATGAGAGGTGCTTGGCGATTAAAACTGACCTTCGACGACAACAGCATTGTCGTCCTCCGAACGAACGTCATCGAGCGAGTCGAGGTCCAATGATCTCGGCGCCAGCTCGACAGCCACTGTCGCGGGCACGATCGTCGCGAGCACCTGCACCACGAGCACCAGCACCAGCATCGCGTATGACAATAGTTCGCGAGCAAACCGAAGATTTGTTTCGCGTGCGAAAACTCGGAAGCACCGCGGAGGAAAAAAAAAAGAAGAGTGAACGACGCGCGCGACACGGGACTCAGAGCCCACGTGCGTGACTCCCGGCCGAATGTACCTGGGGACTCCACTAGGCCGTCTAAGCTGCTCGAATAGCCGCTGCTCGAGCTTATAAGCAAGCTGGCTCGCCCTACCCTCTGGTGCGGTCGACGCTACTCTGCCCCCGGAGCGAGACACCTCCTCGGCACGACGCCACAAGATGCTTCTTTTCTTCTCTTGCTCTTTTATCGCCACCTCGATGATCGCAGGGCAGAGGATAGACGGAGGGCAACACAGTAGGGATCAGGTACGGTCTTTCAACGCGCAAAATAATCGTCCGTCAGTTATTTATACTCCGATGGAGTGATTCCACAGTATCTTGAAAAGTCCCGAATGTCCGGAACATTTTTCTTCAGAACTATTTGAGTATTTGAAATGTTAAAAAAAAAAAACAACAGAAAAAAATGAATCAAGATATTGTAAGTTAAAACAAAGTAAAAAAGAGTTTCCTTAATTTGATGGGAATTAATCGGTTTAAATTTATAATATCTTTTGCGCCTCGACATCTTTTGATCTACATCTCTTTCTTTTCTGTTCTTTTTTTGTGTTCTTCAAGATGTGATACACTAAGCGTTTAAAAGCTTTGAAAACAAAATTGCACTATTTTCCATGCCCATGTAAATCACAGGATGTATCGAGATAACATGTTATGGTGCATGCTATGTAACATGCTACATAATAAGATGTTCACGATATTGATCTTGTCTCATAAAATCTATTTCGCAATATTATGTTAATACGCAATCGCTCGTGGCGAAACTTTTCGAAAGTTATTCGCGATCAATTTGCGATTTGAATACGTAAACGCGGCCGATTGTCCATCTGTGAATGAGATTTACGTTATCTCTCGATTATGTAAGCTGCATGATGGAACCGGATCACGCCCGATCGGTCTTCGATCGCGTGGTTCGTGTCCAACTTGAATGCCGCGCGATGAGATTTGCATTGGAGAGCATGATCCTCGCGTCTGGCCTTGGGGATGCCAAGAGAAGGTTGCATGTAAAGGACGACCGTGAACTTGCTTACCGCGTGATCCCCACCTTCTTGTCTATCCCGGTGGTACGTATTTATGCATTTCCTTCCGCCGACGATGAATATAGAACCTTCCTTCTCCCATGTCTGTCGTAATCTTTTCTTTAATCTGAAGAATCTGCTACCTCAGTAGCAGCAACCGCTGCTAACTCTTACCTCTCCATTCGATTGGCGTCATTTATTTATTTAATGACATTGCGCGATGCTAACAATATTATGCGCTAATAATATTATGCATACTCTAACATAATGTGAAGTATTTCGATAAAGAAATACTTATTAGAAAGAAATGGAAACAACATTTTACGTCTGTATGGATTTTCTTACACGCAATTTCAAGCAGATGCACGACGTGTTTTATCGCGTCTCGTAGACAAGTTTTCCTCGTTAAAAACAGTCCACTGGGACGAGATCTTCGATCTTTTGCGAAGGTATAAACAGTACCTTCCGCGGGCGAGCGAAAAGCGGAGGACCTTGAAGTGTAAATCAGGATTGCGATACGTAGGTCGACGAACTGCGTCGTCCTAAAGGGTGGAGAGAGGAAGAGAGATTTTAAGCTCGCGTTCTTTGACCGGACAGTTAATAACCACTTACTGTCGACATCTCGGAGAGATAAAATCTTTTTTTGTTGTCGCTCGCGAAAGAGGGCTCGTCGATAATCGATAAGGACAGAGAGTTAGTGTCTACCCGCCAAACCGGACTCCGCCTAAAATACGCGTTATTAAAATTCAGTAATAGGCAGCGATTAAAGATGACTAAGCATGAATTTTGTATTATTGTAATCCTCTGTCAAATTGCGTCATGTTTCATTATTGATAGAAAATTTCCAGAAAATGCGGACGAGATTCTTTCGGGGCTGGTGAGAGCGTCTTTTACTACTGATGTGGTAAATTTGATAATATATGTTTCCCGTAATACAAATAATACTTCTGAAATTTTTTTCACTATTATGTATATATTCTCCAGCAAATTTTTTTGTCTAAATTGTATCAACGTAAATAGGAGTTCAATATTTGAGTCATTGATCCAATTATTATAAGCATGCCCAACGAGAGATGTACATGCAATATTTAAGATATATGTTAGACATAAATTTTTTTTTCAACAACTTTGTACTATAGTAAAATTTCTGGGTCTTGTCGGATTCTTCCCCCGAAACTTGCAAACCGGTTGGGTCAGAGTTGTTCGCAATTAACCAGGAGATAACGAAGTCGTTTTTGCACTTCTAACGACCGTCATTGGGAAGAAAAGGTAAAAAAAAGGAAAAAAATTGGATTTGCAGATAAAAAAGATCAAAAACATCAAATTTTACTTAAATGTTAATCAGATTAATTTATGTTTACTCATTTAGAGATATCTTCAAAAAAAATCATATATTTCATTTTTTTTCTAAGTATGCAACCACACAAAGTGTTTTGTGAAACCAGTCATGGATGATGATAAATTACGGAAATTTCACTTCCTTCCATATGTTCTGTTATTATTTCTCAAGCACAATATAATGGACGATAAAAACGCTATAAAATTTCATAACGCTATAAAATTTTCGCGCGTGGTTGCTTGTGAAAATCGTCGCTTGTTAAATTCTATTGTTCTTACACAAAAATTACTATTGTCCTTACGTAATGTTGACAATTCGATAAATTGTATGTGTCGTTAGAAAAATTAGAATGGAATATCGATATTTGGAGATTGATTGTCGATTTATCTTGAATATCATCTTGAAATATTAAACAGCACAACATATCATCAATCTAGTTTTGAAAGTTTTGAAAGCCTTGCATCATTTATAGAGCTTATTAATATTTAATTAATTTATATGATTTATCTTTGCGATTTTTTTTGCGCGCGCTTATCCATTGATCTTGAATTAATGTAGTAAGCAAAACCTGTCAATTCAAAAAACAAATTTGACTGTGTGAATGCGTGTGTTGTGTATCAGGAATAAATAATAAAAATACGATTCGTTGATGAACAGATTTGATTAATTTCTGAGAAATAAATCAATCGAGGATTAATATGTTTCGAAACGTAGAATATTCTCTTAAGGATTATCTAAGAAAACTATTTTTTCAAGAAGTAACAAATGTAATTTTTGCTCCAGAGTTTTCGAGAGTTCTGTGCAAAAAAAGTTCCAAGGAAAAATACAACTCGTGATTGCGCCAAGAGTTGTTTGCTACATATTCATAGATCCGTTGTACAAAATACGCGAATGATCAGAACCCATTTCTTTCGCGCGAACAATACAAAGAAATACATGTATGCTAACGAACTGTAATTCACGTGAGGGTCAGTGTCCCTCTACAAGGTCGTAGATTCTCACACGATTGCACACTCTAACTGACTTCTAGCAATAATACAGCCCCCTGAGCCGCACTGTAACCACTTACACCCTTCGTCTTCCTATTTCTTCTTGCGTTCAAGAAAATGCGCTGCATCCGTGTAATTAGGTACCAATTAATTCCCCTCTTATTCGCGGACCAATCAGGCTTCTGTATTTCAGAGAAATGTGAAGAAGTTTTTACCTTAACGTATTTTAACGAGTACTTTCAAATATAAGTACTTACTTCTGTGTCAATTATTTTCAATAAAAAATTCGTTTTTATAAAATTTAAATGAAGTACAATTCTTCCGGAATTTATTCAAATGGATAATGCGGAGAGAGAGATGAATTTCTTGTAAAGTGGTTTAGAAAATTTATATACTACATTTTTTACTACTAAAGGATTGTTTAATTTTCAAGAAATTTATATTTGCAAATTGATATTAAGCAGCTTGCTTTTGATCGATGGTTATCGTAGCGGATTTATAATCAATGGGGATTAAACACAATTCCTCTGTCGTCGAAGTGAAATACACGTCATTCATGTCGCGTTCCGTTAGCCGATCTGGTGCAGGATAACGACACGCGCTTGTTTCGTGCTAATCGTACTGGTTGTGTCATGTCAGGCTTTTTCGGATAAGCGATTTCATCGAAATGTCTGCTGAGAAACAACTCGTTAAAGTACGTCAGCCGTGAAATGCGCGTAGATCCTTCTGAAAGCGGTCGGCTATCCTCCACAACACATCGTTGATTTTATGGTACGCTCCCTTCGTTCTTCCTCTAACACCTGGGATCTTCCTTATTTCTCCTTATGGGTTTCCACGCTCGGAAATTCTTCTCTTTTTTTCTTTTGAATTCCTCGCCAACAGGTTTCCCCCGGGGTTCGCGCTCTTCTCGGCGCTGCGCCGAGATAAAACAAAGTAAGAGTTCGCAACTTTTAACAGAAACGGCGAGAAAAACGATATTCGAGTATCGTTTTCTGCAGTAGAAAACATAAAAAAACGCATGCAAAGACAGAATTACGTTACACCATATAATTCAAGTATCTATAATTTAATACAGCAGCTGAATCGATCTTCACTTTTTTATAATTTGTTTAAAGAAATTTGTAGTTGATTTAAAATTAATTTTCTCAACTTTCAATTTGACTTTGTCAAATTTTCAAATAGCTGAATATTGAACTATTGTCATATTATATATTCTAAAAATTTACCAATCTCTACTAAAAATGATTGATCACTCGCGTGTGTATCTTAATGTGCGATCTTTTTTAGATTTCAACGAATGGACGGGATTGTTGAAGGCGCTTTTAAACTCGGATCGATATCTGGCATATTATGCTAATACGATCGCGATTTTTTAATCTCGCATATGTATTATGCGGCTCTGTATTTGGAATAAGGCATGTCCATTGAATCATGTTTATGCTAATACTGGCTCCGGGTAAACGAATTACTATCATACGTCGTCAAATCATAAGTGAATACAGAGATGATTGATATCGTGATGCGAAAGATACATCTGAATATCAATATTGATCGGAACGTGAAAATAAACAATGTCAAACTGTCATCTAAAGATAAAAGAACAAATATTTGTTCTTGTTATACTTCCTCTCTGTCACACTTTGGAATATTGAAATTTCATCTTTTATTTCGTTATATTGTACTCATATCGCTTACTTAATTTTTTTGATTAAAATCTAATATATAATAATTAACATTTTTTTAAATATTCAGAATCTTTTGCCATATATTTGTCAATTCTGTAAGAGATATTTTCTTTATTTCAATATAATTTATTTTTTTTTTGTAATTTCGCCGGATTTATGTTTGGCGCTAACAATATACAGAATTATGACCATCACAAGATTACGGTGATATAAAAGATAACAATAGCAACGGCGGAGTAAATAAGGCATGCGATTTATAAAACGTACTAATATAATATTTATTGTTGTAATAAACATCGTAATAATATAATATCACGTGAAATCTCTGATGGATGGCAAGATAAAAAAAAAGTACGGTCGTATTTTCGGCATTCTCGCATCCCATGCTCTTTTGTGCAGCTCTCGCTTCCGAATTTATCACGACACTCTCGACTCCGTCGACCTATGTCGACCGGCATCAGGTTCTTTTTTTACATTCCTCTATTTCTATCAGTAAATCTAAAGTTCGCGAGTTCATTCTACGTCGTTATTCACGTTGTTTAAGTACGATATCGGGACGAACCGAGGAATCGTCGCGAGAGAAAATTGCGATCGCATCTATCGCGTGCGAGTCCGCGAGTTTCGCGGTAACGAAGAGAGGCAGATAGCATGATTTTTTTTGGCGCGCGTTTCCTCGCGACGACATCGACTCATCCAGTTTTCATAACGCAAATAACAATATTAATAATAGTAAGATTAATAAAAAGGGGTGATATCGTTATAAAATAAAATGGCTCGATGACACAGTCGTTCGTTCGCGCAATGAGTCGTATTTTCCGTCTCATTTAGAGATGCAACGGCGGCGATTGAAGGTGTATAGGGATGAAAAGAGGATGGATGTGATTACGTAAAAAAAAGAAATAAAAATGTCATGGATCAAAGCTAACCAACGATCTTGGTCTTGTAGACCTGTGGTATATGCTCGCTCTCGCTCTTGCTTTCATTCTCGTTCTTTTTTTCTCTCTCATTCTCTCTCTCTCTCTCTCTCTCTCTCTCTCTCTCGACTTTTCATTCACAGGGATTCTGAGCTATCCATTCATACGTTCTCCTTCTTCTTCTCTCTTTTTCGGCCTCTTTCGTGCTTTCTGCCTTTTTTTTGTCGGATAAATTATTGCATTCTCACTTCGTACAACCACGCACATTTCCATGTATAAAAATAATAAAAATAATAATATAATATAATTATAATATATATGTCTTACGGATTCAATAGAATCTATAATATTAATAATATCATTCCATATGCTATCTCGAATAATTGTAACAAAATATAGTACTCAATAATATAGTATTCAATATGCATTTTACAAGCGTATTTTTTGATCGTTGCTTTGATATCGGTATGTATGTGTAGCGACGCACGCATGATTAACATAAAACAAGAGAAGTGTCGTGATCGTGATTGTTTTGTTCTAATCTACAGCTCTAATGTAACTGATAACGAGTGTGTATATATATATGTGTGTGTGTATTCGTTTCTTTGCTTATGTATGTGATGTATATGGATACACGTATGCTACCGCGTGTGTGTATATAACTGCACGATTGTGCGACATAAGCTGGCAAGTAGATCGCTTTCACTGGAAGGGTGGCACATTAGCATTGTTTCAACTTACAAACTACATAACCACAGGTTATTGGTACTGGTACCGTTTTCGGTTTTTCGCACGCGTTTGACTCGCGTCAACGTGAACTCATTAGAGCTCTAATAAATCGTTTCCGTCATGTGAATATTTATCTCATAGAAACTTCAATATTTCGAAAGTAGAAGAATCGATGTAATTGTGAAGATTTTTTAAAAATTTATATATGTATACTTGAACATATATTGTGATATTTTATTTCTTTTATTTTAAAACCATAGAGAGACATTTTGTTTTATTCTACACTGTCAATATAAAGACAAATATCCTATAATAAAACATAAAATAAAAATCTAGAATAAAGTTCTCAACAAAAATTAATTTTTTATCGTGAGTTTTGATTTTTATTAGCTCTTATAATATAATTTAACAAAATTAGATATTAAAAAAAAAATATATTTTACTTGATCTATTTAAAATATTAAGAGAGTAAATAAAAAAGTTATGTGATTTTTATATTAACTTTAATATTATATTATATTTAATATAATATATTAAATTAAATTTTATATAGTAAAAATAATGTTCGATATTTTTAATTTTATATAAAATTTTATATTAAAACCACATAAACTTAATTTTTTTCTTTTTTCAAAGAAAACAACAACATTGATCGATCTAGTTCCGAGATATTGAATTGATATCTTATTAAACGTATAGATCGAACTATAGAGATTATACTATGGATACAGAGATACAGTGTGATTATATTACTTTTATTAGTCTTAAGACTTAGAAAAAGTCGTGGCTTCTCGATGCTATCTCGAGCATAGCATGTCATGCGGCACAAAGAGGCGATCTGGCTATACGGATTTTTTAAACACGCCTTGAAGTCGGGATTTATTCGCGCGTGATGATCGGATTTGCGAATGACAGCAATATTACGAAATCGCACGATGGTTTTATATCTCGCGTAAATATATATATATATATATATATCGGTGCTCGTAAATAAGAAGCTATAAAAGTCTCGTTAGCGGACGGAGAAGAAAGTATCGATTAGTTTTTTATGGGCTGCTGGTGAGATTCAAATCCATTTTATTCATTTTCCATATGTTTTGCAGCTTGTTACGCGAAATTCGACAACAATTTAAATCTTTATGAATAAAAATCAAATAGAGACGCGGAGATGCGACAGCGAAAGCGACGATCGCCTTTGTCATCGACTAACATATATATCGGGGTCATTTAACGTAAAATGACGGCATGCGCGTTGCGATGAACCGACACGAATCGTCGGTTTTCGAGATGACAATTCATAAGGGATTAACGCCGGCGGCACTACTAATGCAACATATTTCTTAAACATGTGGACAAATTAAGAGTCTACACGTCAGCTAAAGTATGAATTAATAAAAAAAATTTGTATTTTATATATCATCTACACATACTCTTATACATCATACGTGTACTTACATATATTAAGGATTCTTAAATCAATTTTGATTGATTTACATGGCGCTCGCAATTTGCAGGCCGACGTTTCGTTATAAACCGCTTCGTTCCTAAGCTAATAAACTCGATATAAATTGTTCATCGGACGAAAACAAGTAAAATATAGAATAACGAGTCGCTTTTGGTACGACCAGCGACGTATGCATACATTCTTGCACATGCAACTTGCTCCAATCGAGTCGAAGCCCGTACATTTATGAGCAAAAGACCGTTTAAAGACGATCTTAAAGACAGGTGATATACAAGGTGTTCCTAAACCATTTATTTTGTAATAAATCGTTCTAATTACATGATTATATGTATATATTTAAACAAAACGTAAACAATCACTCAAACAAATGCAAGTAAAACATTTCTAATTATTTATTAGTATTTTTAACTTAATTTTTTTCAGCCCGTCGTTAAAAATGATTATGTGCGAACGTGTTTATGTAGTGATTTGTAGGAATAAAAGCACGAAATGTAATGAAATTATAAATAAGTTTGAAAAAAATTTCGTGAAAGATACTAAAGATCACGTTAATCGTGATTTAACAAATTAAACAGAACAGAATGAATGCATGACAAGAGGAAATTTAAATGAAAAGAATTGAATAATTATTTGTAGTTTTTATAAATATATATACGTATAATCATTGTCACTAAGATATTTGTTTTTCTATAATTCACGTTATTTCGCGTAATATTTAGATGGTTATTTTAGGGACATCTTGTATAATCATTAACGAAATATTCATCAAAAACCTAACAAACACCCGTAAAGTCGTATGACGGAGAGATGATTTGTCTCCAACATTATACTACAATTACCATATTCAAAGTTCACACTGAAATAATGGAGCGTCAATTCTTCTGAATCCTCTACCGAAAATCCCGTGTTCTCCGATATTCTTCAATGTTCTCCTAATTTCTTCTGGTAGTCTCTTTATAGTTTTCGTTAAAAAAACACATGTTTTGCTACTTCTTCTTCTTCTTCTTCTTCTTCCTTCTTCCTTCTTCCTTCTTCTTCTTCTTCTTCTTCTCAGGATAATAAACTTTCCTGACAAGTTTGTTCGCTAAACTATACAAGAATCTTTCACGTGAAAATTTCACTGTTCATTCCTTGTTTAGCAATTATTATTATTCACGTAAAATATTCACTAATCCTCCATTTTATCGGATGACCAGTCTTCGCTGATGGTCTTTTCGACCTGCGCGACATATTTACGTTATTAAAAGTCGACGTCTCTGGCCTCACCCAGTTCACGTATTGCTGTTGTCATGCACATGCGTATGTGCATGCGTGGAATTGGCGAGGGGCGAATGTGGTAGATGAGGGGGCGACGAGGGCAGCTCGATGAGGGTGACGTCGTATGAATCTCCAGGATCACCGGGATCATCCGGCGAGCCCGGATTATTCGAGTTACGGTCGCTGCTCGGATCTGGATTAATCCGTGAATGGGTCACCTCCAATAGGAACAGATCCTCATCAACGTAATATCGAATCATGTCGTCGTCAATTTTCGCTGTAATTCTGTAACAGGATAGGATGATGGATTATCGTTAAATCTCCTCGACGTGGCGTAATTCGCGTACGCGAACGGAAGTCGTTTTGGAGAACGTGAATGATTCGAGTTGGCATGCAACGTAATAATTTCGGCTGCTATAATATGTGTATTTTGTTTAATTATATTTTAATATAATTTACGTATTTCTTATGCAATTTTTCGATTATATCATGAGTTTAGCACAATATTATATCGCATAGATATTTTATATTTTTCAAACATTTGTTTTCTTCTAAATAAATTTTTTATTGTCTGATATCGTTAGCGGCATTTAAAAACGAATCATTGAACATTGTAATTATTTCATTAAATTCATTCACACTTTATTAAAAGAAAAAGAAATCATATATTTTGCATCATCATTAAATCATCATAATATAGCAGCGAAATGAAACATCAATATTGTTGCGGTGAATCTTAAGATCTCGCGCGGATCACAGTGGAAAAAGTGCATCGTAAAGTTCGCATCGCGTGTAGCTTGAGAAAAAAAAAAGAGAGAGAGCAAGAGAGAATTTGTTTTTACAATGTGAGACATATCAAGTGACGAAGAGTGATCATTCAAGGGAAACGGTCGACAGGAATCCGTCGTGCGTAAACGTACGTTGGAAAAGGTACGGGCGAAACAAAAAGAGTCATAGCTGAACGAGATGCATAATGACGTTAGGGAAGGTAGAAAAGCGTGCATGAGTGCGCTCGTGACGGAAGGCAGAAGATGAGAAGCGTGAAGGATTAGTGGATTAATCAGGCGAGATTGTGCGTCGCGGCGAGATGCGAGTCAGCGTGCAGCGACATTCGCGAGGGCGCGTTAAAGTGATCGACAAAGAGAAATACTTTTTAACGAAACAACAAACGAATGCATAGCGTACATTCAAACGCATATCGCAGAGAAACGCGTATCCGACACTTGAAAGAGGCGCACGATTATAGGCGAGAGGGAGAGCGAGAGAAAGAGAGAGAAAGAGAGAGAGAGAAAGAGTGGAGACTACCAAACCAGAGGCGGAGAGAGTCAGGCAATGTCACCGTTATGGCATGCATCGCGTGGGCGTGCATGCAAGTAAAGATGACACTCTACTAAACTTACCCCTTTGTGTTTTTGCGATAGAGATTATTAATACTCGAGGATGCAATTTTGTACTTTGACTCAATCTGCAAAATAGAAAAAAGTAGAACATTAGAATTTTGATAGTGGTTTGCGGACCGTCGTTCGTTTCGCGCTCTCATTCGAGAAAGTACTTGCGTGACGCGCGTAGGTAGTTAGACGCGATATCACTGCGAGAGAACGATAGAGAACGAGGAGCAGAGAGGAAGAACACAGCGAGACAAATAGACTCAAAACAGATCGAAACGTGACAACAATAAAAAAAAAATATATAATACATTGCGTTGCGAAAAACGCGGAGACAGATTAGAGTCGATTAGAACAAAACTCGAGACAAAAATACGTGATTGAGGAGGCGCTATTCGTTCGCGAAGCGCGTTGAAGAACAGAGAAGAAGAAAGAGACAGTTATGACAGACAGAAAGAGAAGGTGTTTGTTTCCATTTTTCTTTTCTTCCGTCGATTTCGATCGGTGTAACGCGCGCTCTTACATTTGACAAGTTGTTGAGAGCCGCCGACAGTCTCGCACATCCGCGAGGAGAGAGGGATAATGTATAATGTGTGTGCTTGTACATCTTGCACTTTTGATATTATATTAATAAGGAACGTGGACACAGTGGACAGTGATGCATGCGCATTGATATTAATTAGCGGGTGGACTAGTGCGAACGGATATTAATAATGGCGCAGTATGCTTTCACATGCACAAGGTAATATATTATATACTCTCTCATGGGGCTGTATACGTGTGTGAGCGTAAATATATATATTTGTGCACCCATAGCGCATATAATTATTCGCGCACGTCGATTTGAACGCGGACTGAATAAACGAAATCGCACTGGTATCGATTGAAATCGAAACGGACAATTAGCTATCTTCCGGTGATTTTATTAAGCTTGGTAGCGTTCGCTCCACGCTGCAGGAAGCGCAATCTCGTTCGATGCAGCGATAACGCATTGCATTATTATTGTCGCCCGTTCTGTTTCTAGAGCATGCGAACGAGACAACGTAATCACGAATTAACCCATTAACGCCCACGGGCTGCGCATATTCAACGCAGCGCGGTATTTTGCATAGAATTATAGGTTGTAGCTACTGTATGTACGGTCACCGGTATCGGTCGCAGTATGGAAATGACGAGAATTTCCATTTTCTGTTTCCATTTCTACGAGGCGTACGAACGGACTAGTTAGAGAATGCGATTTTATATTCACTTTACTACCGGACGACGAGTGTTAATGTTCAATTAATACGCAGTTCTCCAAAGTGTATTTCTCTTCGATTGTAACATTTAATTTATATATATCCGTGATTTTTATTCTTCGCTATAAAGTTAACGTAACATTTATATCGCGCGGTTTATACGTAATAATTTTCCCCGTATTGCGGGCGTTAATAGCTCATGATAAGCAGCATGCCTCTATATATATCGGCTCTATAAACTCTCGATGTCTTCTCAAAGATATCTCCGAGAGCGACGCAGGTGCAAACAGACCGTGCGAATCGTCTCCTTTGCAGCTGCATCCGCGAAAGCGTGATTGCTAATGCGCGTTGGCGGTGTAAAGAAAGTGAGATCTTTAGAATATTTTCCTTACAGCATTCAGTAGTCCCTGAACCGTCGGCGGTGTGACGTGTAGCGGCGTATAGACGTCCTCTGATTCCTGACGAACGTAAAGCATTACACGTTCCTCGGCGTCAGTAGCGCGTAAATGTGGTGGTTGCTGTTGCAAATGCAGCCGATTGCCGACACTGGACACCACCGCGCCCGTCAACCCGGCTGGTTGCACCCCTTGCAGCACCGAGCCCTGCAGCTCCTGTACCTGCATCAGCAACGAGTCCTTCTTGTCGTGCAGGTTACTGAGATTGTCGGGCGGGAAGTGATTGTGGAACTTGAGAGCCGGCAGACTCGGCCGGCCGCATGCCGCCGGATACGGGCTGCTACCCCCCGCCTTCAATCCTCCACCTTCACCGTTACTGAGAGACGAGGTGTCGGTGTCACCTCCGCCCCCGCCGCCGCCACCACCGTAGAAGCCCGACAACTCCATCGTCGAGAACTGTCGTGGAGAAGAAGAACACAAGATTTAATTTTGCTCTACGTTTTTCTTTTTCTCTCTACTCGCGAGACGGCGAGACCCTTTCAAATTTTGCGTTGGGAAATAAGGAGCAATTTTGGAGTGACATTATTTTTTTCTTTTTAATTATTTAACATCGAAGAGAGATATACACGAGAGATATCAAATATATACAAATATATACAATAAAATAATGAACAATTCTAAAAATTAGGAACAAGTAAATTTAAAAATTTTTAATTTGATAATAAAATAATAATGTAACGAGTTACTATTAGTTAATAATTTCTATTACTTATAACACTAATTAATAATTGGTAATAATATTTACTACAATAATACTAATAACATAGAATAGCAAGACAAATATTAGAAGACTATTGCTCCGGTTCATTGAACTAAAAAGTGACGCAAAATTCGAAAGGCTGTATTCAAAAAAGTCCACGTCGATGCAAGAGTTGCGGTTAATGTAGGGGTTTGGCGGAGGTGAGAGCAGAGGATTGTGGATGCCATATAATTTTTCTGGGTCAGCTTTTGCGCCGATTAGAGTTGGTTAAAATGCATGCCAATATAATATAGCATTCGTTCAAACCAAACAAATGGCCAATTTAACAGGCGTCATGTGAAGTACTTCATTTAAATTAATGTAAATTAAAAAAAGTATTTTTTAGTATCCATTTCCGTAATAAAATAATTTTTGCTTCATGCAGTTAATCAGATTGAATGTTACCATAATTAAACGATCTTTACTCATGATTTGACCTTCCGTGCGAACTCTATGTAAGTTCTTGCGGACGAGACACTCTTATTTGCTTGATTTATGTGTGAAAAAAGTGGATGATTACCTTGTCGATGGCGTGCTCGGCCGGCGGCGAAAACAACACCGGTGGTTTGTGCAGATCAACCATGGAGTAAAACTCGCTACGTTCCGTCACAGAGTGATAAAGTTCGTCGAGCTTTTTTCTTCCGGTTGCCGTCATCTTTCTCTTAGCCGCGCGTCTTTCCTCGTCCCGGGTCTTTCTCTCTGCCCCCTGTGGTAAGCAACGTCATCTCTCAGCTTAATTTCAGCGATCGTATTGCGCGACCAGGAAGCGATCGCGCGTTATTTACATCACAAAAGTGAAAAAAAAGAGACAGACGTTTAAAAATGTGCACGAGAGCGGTTACCTTATCGCAGAAGACCTTAATTTGACAGTAGCCGCGATGGGAAGGTGGGATGTATGAGTGCGTATGCGGCGGCGGCTCCTCGTACGTGTCGACCTGGATATGTAACGGCAAGCCCTTCACGCCTTTCTGACTCGAGAAATCCGTACTGAGACATTGCACCGCCACATTTATCTGTGCAGAAATCGGACAGGTAGAACGCAGAGCGGGCGACGCGCGGCGGGAATTGCTTTATTAACGTTTCCGTTAAATGGCACGCGATATCGCGCGCGATTAAATTGCGCGCGATACGATTCGCGCGGTGCGCGAGATTACGCGCCGATAAACGCGATATATCGGGAAAGACAAGGAGGAGGAGGAGGAGCAGGCAGTGGACTGGGGTGAGTGCGTATCGTTAAAGGAGGTAACGTGAATCGACATTTCCGACGTTCTTACCTTCGCCGACGATTCGAGTGGGTTCCAGTAAACGGCAATCGCATTGTGCGCGACTTCCTCTATGCAGCCCGCCAGTCCGACGCTGTTCTTTGTGTCTGTAACAACGGACGTGACTCTGAAACTCGCAGATCATGTCGGGGAATAGCTAATGCTACTCTCTCGGTACGCTTTTAGATAGAATATTAAAATAACGGAATGTGCGTTTGCAGCGATAAGATCTTACCAGTATTTATCCGTCACGGATTAGGTAGCTTGCACAAAACACAAGAGATTCAAGGATTTAATCGATCATGAATATTGAGAATAATTCATCGACATGTATCGCACAAGAAAATTATTATTGATCAAAATCTCTTTTTTCTTACATTACTGTTTAAAAAGATTTTAAAGAGGTTTTAGGAGGTCTAGGAGATTTACCAGCATCAAGAATCCTTTGTTTCACGGAATGTTGTCTGCCATGCCAAAACTGCCACGCTTTGATTTCATCCTCGGGACTCTTTTCTTCCCGGAACATTAACATCACTACGCTCTGTGATAAGCAATTATTTGTTATATAATAAAATAATAATAATTATTGATTATGTTATATATTAATATTTGCGTCTTTTGTAGATTATTTCTATTAATAATAGCAAAAAAAACATACATGTAAGAGATATCAATTATACTTATCATATTTTTCAATATAAAATATTCAAATACTGCTTTATAATTTCTTTTGTATCTTTTTTTATAATTATTTCAGGAGAGATTATCAAGTATTTCAACTTTAAAGAATTCCCAAACAAATAAAAGTTAAAGGCATGTTGCATATCTCGAGATTTCTCATATTTTATAACCTATATGGAATGTATAAGCATAATGTATGTAGCATAAATTCTTATGTCTGCAAAGTTAACTTTCGTTCAGCCGGATCGGCGATATCACTGCACTGCTATGAAACGATACGCGGAGACGCACATCGGCCGCGACAGACGCACGCTCGAGCGGGCGTGAGCGTTACGCCGCGAGCGGGCAAAGCAAATCAGCGCACGCCGAGACGGAGGAAGGATTTTTCGTGATTCGGGTGAATGGGCGAAGAACTGCACGAGAAAATATGGGTGCGCGATGGGGAAGGAAAGAGAGAGAGAGAAAGAAAGGGAGACCCCGTGAATAAGAGGCTCGCATTACGTGGTTACACTTACTTTACCGATCTCCCTTAAGGCTCACGCCGCGAGAGACGCGGTTATATCATTCGAATCCGCCACACACGTCTCGCTCACCCGACGCTCGATTAGCAATTAACGAGGAAGTCGTAACTCGTCGCGTACCGCGGAAAAAAATCCGCCAGCTTTATCAGAATGGAAATTGTTAACGGTGCGCGTTACAGCTGCCAATTAGACTCAGGAGAACAAACGATCCCGTCCGACTCCTTCTTTCGAGAGACACCGTGCGCGCGCGATCATCTCCGTAAATTTTGTCGTTACGCGAATGATAATATTGCTTAGGTAATCTGACGTGATGATTGCATCATAGCTATGCAGAATTCTGGATGATATGAGTGCATGCGCATTATCTCGTGTTAATTTGCAGACTACTGAAATTTGCAAACCACTGTGAAATAGAAACAAAATTGTATTTTCTCTCACAAAATGTTTTTTATCTGACTTAGTAAAATAAAATTAATTATATCGTTATATCAGAATTATTAAAATTATTACCTAAATTGTTTCATTGAATTCATATGATTTTCGAGATTGAAATGTCTTTTAAATTGTATGTCCACTTATAACGTAACATATATCATCTTAAATGTTATTATGCAAAGTGTAATTATCTTGTTTATTCTTACCTTGACTGTCTGTCCCGCCTTGAGAAGCGACTTGTCAGGTTCGGGCACATAGTCTAACGTGATGCCGTAGAATTGGCCTTTATTGATGTACGTTATTCTGTCGTCCTCGCGGCGTTGCGACGTACTGATCGGCGATTCGAGATGATACTTAAATCCGTATGGCGAGTACCTAAATAACAACAGATAAGATTCCCCAAATAAAGTGTGTATGCATACAGCTTTCAGCTGTGGCGCGTAAAAACATGCATATTTGAGAAACAACTTTCTTGCTCATTATACAGTCGATCGTTTTATACTTGGTCGAGATGCGAATCGCCTTTACTTAATAGGCGGTTACGAGCTCGCGAACGAATACTCAATTAGCTGATTAATGCGCTATGCAACGCGAGTGATAATCGCGCAATTATCAACCAATTTAATACCAATGACAGATTTATGAGGATTCCATCTCGTGCTCTCAGAAAAACATACTTTACACCGTGAAAAACAACCGGTGTGCGAGATAAATAAAATATCGAGAGACGTTTCTTAATTAGAACGTTCGTCATCGCGAAAAGAAGCGAGCGCGATCTGATATGAATATTCCGATCGTTAATCGCGATCGGATGATAATGAAGGGCTCGGACACCCAGAGCCTGGGAAAGCTGAAAACCCGGGAGCGGGAACGCGCGACGCGACGTGGAAAAAGGAAAACGTCGACGGGCGACTCGCATCAACCTCGCCCAGGGAAAATCGCTTCTAATCGAGCTTATCTCCGCCTTCGGCTGCCGGTGGAGATGCAGGTAGGCGGGCGGCTAGGCAGCAGGCGGTCGATAGATACCCCCGTGAAAAATGAACGCCTATAAGCCGAGAGAGCGCGAGGAGAGACCGCGATGTAAAACGCGAGAGGACAAAACGACGCGCACGACGGAAGGCGGACGGCAGAAAACGGGAGCAAAACGATCGATCGATCGTAATCGAGGAAAATCGCTAATCGCTACACGCCGCCGCTCGTCGCTTCAGCCCGGTCTACTGGTCTTCGTCGGAGCTACCGTTGGCGGAAAGTCCGTCAACAGTGTTATTTGCCGCGAGAGCGTCTTATTATTACTATCTATCTGCGCGCGACGACTCGCGTTGTAGGCCGACGCTTTCGTATTCGCGACACAAAGGTCCTTTCGTCCCTTTTCTCTCTCTCTCTCTCTCTCTCTCTCTCTCTCTCTCTCTGTTCTTTTCTTCTTTTTTTTCATCAGCTACACTGGACAACCGCGGGGCGAGGGAAGTGCAGCGAGTTCAGGTGATAACTGATCGTGGCGGGTGAACGCCCTCTTGTGCGCTTTTGCTGCTCGCTCCTGTTGCACAGCCACCGCCTACCTGGGTATGTATATATCTTATTACGACTCCCTGTGTGGGTTACGCGCGACTACCGAGAGTCTCTATCTCGGCTCGGCCCGGTCTGTCTTTCTCGCTGCTTTCGCTTCCGTTACGACGTAAAAAAAAAAAAAAAAGAAACGGTCCCGGTCGGAAAGAGAGAGGCTACCCTTCTTGACATTTCGATTTCACGCTGCGAGTGGTCGGCGGACGCGCGATTTTTCAGTCTGAACCCGGCGCGACCCCCAGGCGCTTGTCCGCTGCGGAGAGTCGGTCGTACAGCCGACTGCAACTTAATAACTTTAACATCATTGTTCATCTCGCGCCGGTTTGGAAAAAAAGGGCGAGCGGTGAGCGCCGCTGGTCGATCTAACAATGGGAGCAACAAATTACAAAAGGCGGATGGAGCGAAGTAAGAAGATCGCTAGGAAGGATAGATGCGAGAGAAAGAGAGGAGCTGAGAATGAGTCGGCAGAGGAGGATGTGAAGAACCGCGGAGGAAATGAAGAGTACGTGCAAGATTAAAAGGTACAGGAAGTTCTTGGAAGTAGTAGACTAGTGAAGATATTGCTTTCCCGTGAAATAGAAATGACATCATCATAAATCCACTTTCAGGAGAGTGTTATTAATTTTCAGAATCATAAAGAGAATCGTAAATTAGCATTAAGTATTAATATAAGCAAATATTATAATCATATCTATATATAAAATTTTTTCGGACTTATATCTTTACTAACAATAATAATGACTGCGTTAATTATCATCGGAAATTAAAAATTACTAATCAATTATATTTATAATCGTCAATTGTGAAAATATATACCGATTGATTTTTGAGAGGCTATAATAATTAATATTCCTGTGAAAACATTAATATGCGCAGAACAAAGATCGTGCAGAAATTTCAGACATTGAACAATGAGTTTTTAGAAAGAATTTTTCATTCGTGTGCGATCAGAAGCGCATTGCGTTATTGCGAAGCTCGCAACTGCTTGCTCTGGGCGGCACGAGTTATTAACTTTATCGCTTCTCTTCCGTTCCTTCTATATAATAAAGCGAATCTATCTATCAATCTCGATATCCATTTATTTGTCTACCTATCCATCCGAGCAAGTAACTTGAGTCTTTGCACGTTGTTATTATAACGCATATTTATTGTACTTATTATAAATTTATTACCGCGATGCAATCTCTAATCAGGCAAATTTTATCAAACATGGTAATTGTTTTGTTTTTAATCTTTTAAGATTAAATATTTTCAAGAAGCTGCACACAGAAGGAATGAAAAAGAAACAACGCAATTAAAACGTTGACAACCGAGAGACGTTTCTTAAATTAAATTATTTACGCTAATTTTTGACATACAATTTTTGAGGATTACTTACGACTTCGGTATTTGGATTTTGTCCGCGTCGTTCTGTCTGCCAAAGTCGTGCCAAGGCCGCGACCTCGGCGGATTCGGGTTCGGATTCGGATTTGTCGCACTTGCAGACACAAGACTGCCACGTTGCACCTGGGCTTGTGCGTGATTCTGTTGTAGCTGCAATTGTAATGGCTGGTGATGTATCACGGCGCCGCTCTCGAGGACTACCGCCGCACCGGCTGTCGTCCCACCAGGACACAATTCCGTGTAATCAAAAGAAGACTGAAAAATGAATTTAGTTTAATGTAGAAAGCTTTCTTTGACGAGATCTCCTTAATCCTTTGCGGTTTTTTTAATAAACTCGACATAAGATTTGTCGACAATTCTGCAAAGAATTGAAGCAATACACGATTATAATTAGCAAACCATGTTCTGATCTTCATAAAATTTCTCAGACAACTGTAATAGATTATCATATTTATCTTATTCATTAAAATAAGAACAAAATATTGTACTTAATGTTAATTAATTCGTTAAAATTAATTCGGACCGCAAAGAATTAATAACTACTGTGAACGCTTTGAGTGCTAAGTTAATGCATGAAACTTTTATCTCTTTTAGTATTAAGAATGCATATACACATTGCCCGAAACGCTCGCGTAGTCGTAGAACGTATATATACAATATCTAAAAAATATTCGTCGCGACTGAGGCCGTAACAAGAGACACAGCTATATATCACGTCAAATTACATGCATAGTAAATGAGAGTATATGTTATTCTAACTTTAAATTTGGCCAGCCGATAGTGGCTATTTTGTGTTTTGTCGCTGTACCGAAAAGGTTAATTTTACTTTTGTAATATATCTTGTAAAATATTGAAATCAATAAAGACTTGCCGGAAAAGGTTTTAGCTTTCAAATAAAGTTTTCTCGTTATTATCTCTTTATGTGAAAGTTCGACACTTGCTGACATCTGCTATATCTATCCGTGGCGAATGGGGTCCTAAATGTGATCTCGATTTAGGTCGAGGCTGCACGTGATTTATTCTATATAGGGCAATCATCTACAGCGACCTACTACCGCTCAGCTGATCAGCTGATCGTAGTACCGTAATAGTTACGTAATATTATGCAACGCGCGTGACATGTCACACGCATATATGCATATATGATGCGCCCGCGCACGATTTTTTAAATGATATAACTCGATGAAAAATTAATATAGCGACATGCGGTAAAAAGAAATCTTCTGTGATTTGCATCCTGCATATGCTTATGCTAAATATACTCTTATCATAACACGTATTTGTATATTTATGTAAGTAAAATATAAAATGGATTGTCTGAATTCTGGAAGATTTTTAAATTCGTAAATAATATTTACATGTTTAGCTTACAGAAATTGATTTCAGTCTATCAAAAGTTTTTGTTAAATATTGTGTGTGATGTAAATCTATAGATATTGTAATAAATTTCTGCACTTGGCAGTTAACAACTTAATCTATAGTGTTTATTAATCATATTTTTAATTGAGATTGAGTCTTGTTTAGAAATTTTGTTAGCATAATAAAATAAATAATGATAAAAAACATTGTTATTTCGCTACCATAATGTTTCTCATAGTATTAAATAATTAACTAGTAAATTTTCAAATTTTTTTCATGAAAGTTTCAAGAAAATTATATGTAATGATAGTGTCGTATAGCAATATTGATTTTTAAGTTCTTGATAAGACAGCGTAGTGTGTAAAATAGTAACCTCTTTCCAGTCGTGTTCTCGTAGATAAAACGCATGCATAAGCATAAAATGCACTCAATATCACTAATTTAAATGCTCACTGATTACGGTGTAATTAATGTTTAAAAAACCTAGTGACGGTGTAATTATTTACCGACACTATTTCGTTCGTATATCAGCAGCAGTATCGCCATTCGATATCTATACGTGCTCCCATTCTATTTTGCATATCAATGCATTTCATTAGATTTTTAAAAATTTCTCAAATATACCTCAATAAATTTCAAACTGTGTGATTAAGAGATTCACTGGACCGATAAATGATTAACCGCGCACGGACACGCGACTTCACGTGACTATTTCGATACATCCGCTTCGGATCTTTCTCCTCCTCGTTGATTATACGCATCGTCGTAAACAAACCTAATAGCTTAGCGCAAAAGGTTTACAGCGGAAAAACAAAGTGGTTTTTTACTTATCGCTAATGGGAACGCGCTTTCGAGCATCCTCGATGCCGTGTTTCGCCGCGCATATTCGGACATTGCCGTCGAAGGCAGCGCCGGGAAAGAATAGGGAGCTTTGTGGTCTCGTAAAATCGACCGCACAACCCGCACGCGCCTCCAACCGTAGCTGTTAATAAGCGGCTTGCCAAACGACCTATTCCCTCATATGTCTTCATGCGATTACGCGTCGCCTGCAGTTATTTTTCAATGCAACGTGGTTACCGCAGCTCGTTACCCTCAACTCTCTGTCATCCTGAAAAAAAGACACGGCAACCTCTTTCTCGCCAAGCTCTCTACTAACCGCTGAATCCATCATATGTCGGCACAAAAACCTATTCGTTGATTTGACATTTTTCAAATCCTTCAAACTTTTAGAGTAAGAGATGCGTATTAACTATGAAAGTCACACGTCTTTCAGTTGCAAAGTTCTTGATATGTCGAGACAATTTTCTTCAATAAAAATGTTTGTAATTGAACATCATCTACTTTTCATAATTTTTTCGATTTTGAACATCTTCATATTATCAACTTTTACAATAAAATTCTTAGAATTTTAATTATGCGCTAGATGTTTGTTGGATTGATATATTATATGATCGAAATTTATCATAATATAAAATATAAGGAGTCAGTAGGGAAGGAGAAAAGATGGGGGTAAAAAGAAATTGGTAGAGGAAAAAAGGAGGGGAAAGAAATTTAAAGAGGAGGAAATAAATTAATAATCGGGAGATAGGCATCAGGTAAATGATCCGTGTCGTTTTGAGCCCTGCATTTTGTCTTTTGATAAAGACCATTTCAGAAATCAGTCTTTTCGTATAAGAGGGTTCACCGTCATAAAATATACATATGTAACGTGATATCATCAGTAAGGAGATTTAATAGATTACCACACATTTTTGCGATTTTTTCATGTCGCCGTGTGATTAAACAAGTTACACGCGAAACACGCGCAATTTATTTATTTATCGTGTTTCATCATCGAAGTACACGATCGCTCTAATTGAGATGTCACGTCTGCGTCGGTAAATCGAATTAACGTTTTGCAAGAAATCCGAGCTGCGTCGTATCGTTGACACAAATGCTAAAACTGTACGTGTACATTGCGGATAAGGACGGAGAAAGATAAATAATTAATATCTAAATAAGCTTAAAATCTCTAAAGCGGACAGCTAGCTAAAAATCGCCAGATCGATTAGAATATGATATACGTTTCCTGCACGCAATATCAAAGGAATGCCACGCGAACTTAAAATGCCATTCTCTCTTGCATCTAAATTTACGATTAATATAACTTTTTACAGAGCATAATCGCGCGAACAGGTCATCGAATTTACTACGCGGATTATTGCTCTCGCGTCGTGCGGTCATAATTGGATTATTACGCTATTGCGGAGCGATTTAGAACGGCACCGCTTCTAAATATTACGGAAACTATCGATAGAAAGTTTGTGCGCGAAATAAAACTTATAAAACGGCCACACGCCCGACAAAAAAATTCTCTCTACTAATATGCTTTGAATATCGACATTTTAATTGCGCCCATAAGGCGAATGTGCTAATCAGGCGAGCGGATCGGTTTTCAGTAGTACTTAGAGATACCTAATCCGCCGTCGTCCCGGGGTTTCGGATTTTATTCCAACGTTTCTCGCGCACAAACGGAGCAGAACGAATGTGTGCTTTCTAATTCGTAATATCGACTAGCAATGCTAATGACTTACTCTTGGGTGTAACGCGCGACTATTGCACGATTAATGTTTCCGGAAGTAGGACGAGATATTCAACGGCTGCACGAAGGATGATGAATTGTCCGCATCAAAACGATGAAAACTGTTTAGCCGATGCAAGCGAAACGATAGATCGACTATATATTGCCACTGATCGATAATATTGTCAGTTAAATGAATCTCGCATAAAAAGGATCAAGCGCGTTTTCAACATAAAACTGAGAAGTAGGCATAAATAAAATTTCTCGCGGTGAAAATGTGACAATACTGAGATGTAAAAATATCCGTGGAATGAATATTGAAACCAATGATTAATTTTTTAGAAAATCTAATAACGCGCGACTGTTATAAAATAATGCATGACTACTTCGTCTAGATGCAGCTTCATTTATTAATGGAGCTTGATAAGAGGATCACTTCAGCAAGACGCGTCTATAGAAAATCTTTGGATCTATTAATTTTAACAGACATGACCGGAGGAACGGGTTCGTTTTTTGATACGGCTTTACGCTTTATCTTTAATCTAAAATACTATAATCGCTCCTGTAAAGTGTTATGCGTCGCGCTGTAGAGTATTGGCGTATAAAGTTATCGCGTCGGTCTAACTGTACGCGGCACTATAAGGCGGGAAAAATTCGCGCAACAAATCGCTTCGAGAACGGCGATCGTCGCATTGCATATGCATTCGACACGTTGGTATTAGAGCGGTATTACGCATAATACCGCGCACATTGCCCGAGACACAGGGAATTAATCGCGTGAGAGTGCTCGCGGAGTGAGGCGTCGTCGTGGGCGAAAGCACTCGCTTGACAAATCGCATTGAAAATGATAGCACGCACGGCGATATCGTACTCAAGTAGGATACCCAGCAAAAGGATAACGGTTAATACCGCATATATTAACGTACGAAAATGTCGTCCGAGCGGAGAGCGGTCGAGCGTTAACGTACGATATTTACGATATCTCCCGGCAGAATTAATTGCATCGTGCTCGCTTATAGCGCCGTGGGCAAAGTCATTTGTACGAGACCGATCGAAATTGAAAACGATAACGCGGGACGATTGCGAGGATGATCGTTTGATCGTCGTGCAGTTTCTACGATTTGATTGAGCTACGGTTATTCCCGTCGCGTTAGAGCATAGCGATCGTTTCTGCCGCTCGGCCGCGCATTTTTCTCAGACGATTAATGACGCTACTACAACGTACCCTTCCCCGCGTAATTCAGTAATAAGTATCTCCGCGTAATAAACATTTCTCCATATATCTCCCGTGATTCGACCTGCAGCCCGTTAACTTCGATCTAGACGAGACAGCCACGATCCGATCGTCTCGTTATCTAACGTCGCTTGCTGATTGCAATTTATATAGACATGAACCGTTCACGATCGTTTCTGTCGACCAGCTTGGACAGAACGACATCATATTACGCCTGCGCTATGTTCTTTAATATTACCCGACAGAGTTATATAGCAACTCGTGAAAATTATTACGTACTTGGATTTATTCTATTCTGAAGACTTCCAGATTTTTAAGATTCAAAACTTTATGTTACGTGCTAATATTGAGATACCAATACTTTTTTTTTTCTTCGAAGAGCATTTTATGCCCATTATTCACGTGACAATAATGATTATATCTCACGGTATCAGAAACGTATTGTGAGAAGAAGACTATCCGCTCTGATCGTCGAACCGTCGTTCGTAAATGTGTCTGTGTGCGAAAAAACAAGTTAAAGCTGTGTAAGTATTTTAACAGCCGGTACACTGTCGATGTTTACGTGTGATCACAATTACTATTTACATTTCAGACCGAGTTCAAAATTGCGCCGAAACATTTTTGCAATATTTTTTGCGCTCCAATATCCGCGCTTTTCATAATTTTGTGTTGTTCTTGTTATTATAGAATACAGCGAACTTCTCGGCCAAGGAACGAATATGATTCTTTATGAAGGACTCACCTGATGAAGTGCCGTGGGTGGATGATGGTCCTGCCTGGGTGTGACCGCGTCGGCACCTATACCGGAATCGGGGCTGGGGAGATCAACGGTCAGGACTTTGCTGCTGCTCGACGACGTGCGTATCGCGTGTGTTGTAGCGTATGAACTCGGCACAACCTCGTACCTCGTGTACGATGCGGTCGTAGTGGAGAGCGAGGAGGTCGAGCTCGATGAAGCGAGCGGCGGCAAAGCATCGCCGGAAACGTAGACCGTCGTCGCTTCCTGATGGAGACCACTGCCCGGATTTCCCGTCGTCCCATTCCCAGTCCCGGGCGCCGACGTGGATGTATAAGCGTTCGACTGCAGCCGCGGACTGCAGGACGAGTAAGGATCGTAAGGACTGCCGTACTGCTGTACCTGTGGCATAGACATACACACGAATTGCGGTTTGGCTTTCCTTCATTCGATCGACAACACTGTCGTTATCGGCGCACCTCGAGCGTATCGCAATTCCGCGCATTTACGCGTTGCGATTGAGCAAGATCCCTGCCACGCGTGAAAATGCACAAGTGCGAATTTGAATGGTGTTATTTTGCGGCGTGTAACTCGCTGCATTGGGTTATACGTGACACAATGTTCCGACGATGATCACACATTGCAACGCGTATTTATCTGTATGTAGAAATTGTAAGCCTCAAAACAATTTTACACCAATGGACAAGCCACAAAATATAGTAGAAGCCGCTTGAAAATCGTTCATGAGTTTTTTCTACTGCGTGTGATGATATATAATCGTAGCACAAATACACTTGTTGTATACACTTGAGCATTCGTATAAAAAGATGTTATTGAATCTAAATGCAAAGGATTAAAATTTCTCACGCCAAAGTTTTGAAAAATCAAAATAAATCAGGTAACTTCGAATTATCGCGGATCTCGAAAAGCGATTAATAAAGTAGAAAGCGATCGTCCAAGTATCTCACCTGTAGCTGATGCTGATGATGATGATACATTCCCGGCGGTGTCGGGCTGTCCGGCTGTGTTTGTTTGTGTCGTTTACTGGTCTGCTGACCCCCACGCGATGAACTGAGATCCTCTGGTTCCCTCTTGACCCCGGTGATGCCGGCGCTTGAGGCGCCGTCGTGTCGCAGGGACTGCGGGCTCAACGGAAGCGGAAGGCCACCTTGCAGACTCTGACCGGGACTATGGGATGGCTGGTTGTACTGATGGAGGAAGTGGTGTAGTTCCCCTCCTCCGGCGCCTTCGCCGCCTTCCATGCGATTCGTCGAGGCGGAACCGGAGCCAGGCGCCTCCTGCACTAGCAGCTTCTGGCCCATCACACCCCTTCAACAGTGCGTGGAGAATTGACCTTCAGTTATAGCTCCTTTATACTGAGGCACACCGAGAGATCATCATCGATCCGCGCCATAAGAACGCGTGACGAATTCGCGCTATGTATAACGAGGTCGATACGGCGGGTTCATTCGCGCTGCCACGGATTACCTTTTATGGGATCCGCCATCTGGTCCTTTTCTGAACAGAAAAACTACTCAATAAAAAAGATCGGATTTTTCGCGGAGAGCGACGTAGGAGGATAACACGCGTCAATAAATCCAATGCGTACAATAAAATTTAATCTTTTTGAAATTCTTAACGATGCTGGAGATTTTTATTTCAAATATGAAATACGAGATTGGTCACTTGTACATAGTATATATTATAATTGAATCAGTGTTAAAAATTTATGAGCAAATTACAGTAATAAAAAAACTAATAAATAAATTTTTTTGTTAGTGAAAGTTTTATATTGCGAGATCAAATCGCTTGATTTCATAAAGAATTGTTTTATTCTAATAATGTCAACTCACTTATAATGTATTTTAAATATTGTACTTTTAACAATACAAGTTCTAACAAATTAAAGATTTCAAAAATTAAATTAAAGATCAATTGAAAGGCCAATTAAAGATTAAAAAAAAATTGAAAATATAGGTTGAGCATCAATTTTATATTAGCTATATTAATATCACGAGTGAGTGCAATATTTAATATTTTTATAATTCAAGATAATATCATATACATATGTGTTTGTGCCTATGTGTTCATTGAAATGATAATTTAATTGCCAGCTTTCAGGACAGAGACAGGTCGCGTTTTCTTTCCCCGCGTCGTCTGTTGATGAATAAAATCAGCGAGGAAAGCTAGCGTTGCATTTCCATTATACATCTCGCGCGCTGCATCTGCCGAAATAATGCGGCAATAAAATTTTCGACGCGCGCGCGAAGAAACGCGATTCGCCGATCGACCGTACCGGGAAGAATCGAGAGGATCCGCGGGTATTATGCGAAGTAGTTAACATGTTATATTTAGCATGATAATACGTATCCACAATACCGGGGACCCTTATAAACTGCCAACGCTCTCGGTGCGCGCCGCCTTTCCCCGCCGTCTCGCCCCTTTTCTCTCGCCTCTTCGTCTTTCTTCACGTCCTTGCCGCCGTGTCCTGGCATACCTTTTACCAGGCTCTCTCTCTCTCTCTCTCTTACACTTCAACCCTTTTTCTCTCTAAAAAACTACATATTCCCCCTTTATCTCACTCCATCCTTCCGCACCGTCGTCGTGGTGTCTACCCTACGGTCAGATGCTTCCGTACAATGCCCTTTTTTTACACTTGATACCTGATCTCTCGTCTACCATTCTCTCTCTCTCTCTCTCTCTACTCTGTTTCTCTTTCTCTGTTCTGCCCTTTGCGACGACGAAAAGGGCGACGCCGGGAGGATGAGAGACTATTCGGCGTGGTGCGTCTCGCGTTGCTCTCGGCACACTTGTACTTGAAGAGGTGCGGATAGGCCGCGGGATCGCGACGGGCGGGACGGGGAAAGGACGGCAACGGGTAAACCTGGCCGCGCCGAAGACCGAGCACGTTCTTTCGACGAGTGAAGAGAACGCACTGTCATAGCTCGGGGCTATGGCAGCAAAGGTTCGGCCTCATGAATTCGGCTTACGTGAAATGGATCCCGCGCGAGCATTCTCCTTTCGCGATGCCTTTTCGCGAGAGCGTTTCCCGATAATGCGATGCTAATCCGGGAGAACGCGCGATGAGAAGCGAGATTCGCGTGCGCACACCTTAGAAATATGATATGTACCCCTGCAATCAGCACATACATCAGTTTGCGGATCGAATCTGAGCGACGTTTTAAGCTTTCGGAAACATTAATAGTTTTGTGCAGCTGATGCTCATGTTTTTACCTGAGAATTTTAGTTTGTGAAATAAAAGATTTTGTTAATTAAAAACATGTCAACATATTTCTGTCTCTTGAAAAATTTAAAAATAGTAGATATAATTTTTGTTACATTTATTCACGTTTATTTGAATTAAATTCCGATATAAAAATGCGTTGTATCCGTAATTGTAAGCCTGAGAAGGAATCTTGACACAAACTTTCGATGAAGTGCTGTTGAACAACGTGCGAGACCGAGTATTTTTTTCGCGGCTTCACGGCCGTCGAGAAGTTAAGTGCCGAATGTTAGTGGTCGGACGGCAAGGAGAGAAGAAGAAAAGCACACAAAAAGAGAGGAGAGGAGTTTAAAAACGAAGAAAGAGGGTCAATGCTCGCTTTGGGCCAGCTATTTCGTAGAACTGTCTATATGTGTGCAACCAGTTTTACGCACTGTCGACACATTCGCACAGTCACTCGAAGAATATCGAGTATGCCAATAGACAAACCGTAGATATTCAATGGCAGCTGTATCTATAGAAGTAAATTAAAATAGAAACATGATAAATGTATTATGGCTTTGTGGATAAGATACGTCACGGAAAACGATTGACGATATGTTATCACGGCTATAAATTTAGCCTTTACGAAGAAAATGTAAACTTTGCTTTGCACCTGCCATGCTCATTCATTTTTATTCCGTTATTCTGCCGCATCACTGTGCAATGCGATTGCAAAATTCTACGTAAAATATATCTGAGCGCGCTGCAAGCGCCAGAATTCAAAAAATACTGATCAACGCGGAAAGGCTGATAGCTTGCAAAGTCCAGCGTCGTAATAGCGGTGCGCTGCTTTTATCATCAATCACCATTCTGCGGAGGTTTGACACCGGCTGACCGCGGCATATTCACAGGAATTCGTAGCCGCGAACGAAACAAACGGTACAAAGAAAGCTGGCGCGCGAAGAGGAAAGCGCGCCTAGCGTAATCCGCGCGACGCCGACGATGCGTGCACCGTTTTTATCGTCTCACCTCTGCCCCCTCGGGAAACGTCAATCTCCGGCGACGAGCGGGATGGTTGGACAAGAGATCGGGAGGGAGGGGGCCTCGTATTCTTTTTGCATCCACGTGGAAGATCCCGCCGATTACGCCGGTATCCGCGGCGCGTTATTCTTCTCCTCCCTTCCTCGCCTTCTCAAAAGAAGGGTCAATGCGCGCGAATTCGTGCCCCATGCGAGTTGATGTAGCGCATTCGCGCTACAAACGAGTAAATTACACCGGCGCCGCGTTATACAGTCTACGCGTCATTCCACCAGCGCGGCTTTTTCGCCACATCGCTCCATTGGCCGCGCGGAAGAATACGCGCTTGAAGAAGTGGATGCTGTGCGCGTTATACGCGTTAGTAACTGCGCAACGTGCGTACGCTGCGCGTACGCGAGTGTAAGAGGCAATTACGTGCTTACGGTGCAGCATTATCGACGACAAGGCACTCACACCGATGGCGAGAGACGGCGGCAGCGGCGGCCACGGCGATCGTGGCCGACGCGTGAACCCGCGGGTCGCCGGGGTCATCGCGAGGTCGCGACACGCATGGCCATTTGTACATACGTGAGCGCGCACACCAACAACCCTCTATGCCCGGGTTTGCGGTATCGCGCCAGGCCAGACTCGCGCGGGTCAGGCTAGACTCGCTTCGGAACCGGAATCGGGCATTTCTCAAACCGGAAATCGGGGCGGTATCATAGCGCGCGCGTGAGTATGGGTGAGTGCGTCATAAGCGACGAACCTGTCTGTATGTGGCACGAGGTACGAGACGAAACTCGAAAGACAGGTCCAACGAAGTGGCGCTCCGCCAGCTCTCTCGCTCGGGTCACTCCTTTGATTATTATTGTCGGTCTGCTTTTTTTTCCCGTCCCGCGTCTTTGCGGCCTGGCTTCTTGTATACTCGCGCGAGCATCTACGGCTTTTTTGCCTTTATGAGCGCACGCATGCACGCACGTCGGCACCTGTGCTTACAGCACGTGCCGCCGGAGTCGCGGTAATGTTAACGTATGCATACATATGTACGCGCTATATGGACGGACGGAGAAGAACGAATTTAGATGCGCGCGGCGTGGTCAACGACGGCTTGGCACTTCTCACGATGGCCACCGGCGGCTCTTTCCTAGCTCTTTACTTCCTAGGAGTATCGCACGATTCCCAGAACACGTTACCGTTGCTGGCTTTCGGGAATTATGAAACGTCCTTTGACCCTGGTCTTAATATCACGTGATCTCATCTACGTTTTTGTATGCACACTCTTGTAGATAGGTTTGTGCTTCCGCGTTTTATTAAATATGTATTTCATAGAAACCATTAGAAACCATTAGAAACCATTAGAAAAGCAAAAATTGCAGCCGCAAAATAAAAAACTTTCATTATGATAAATAGCGCAATATCTTAAGAATATTTATTACAATTTGTCATAATTGATTTATGTCATTAAGATAATGAAAATTATTTCAACAAATATATAACAAGATATCACTGAATAATATATTTAAAATCTCACATTATGCGACATTCAATAAATGATAAACTCATGTATTTTAAATATCCAGTTTTGAAACATAAATATTAATACCATGAGAATGATATATTACATTGAATTTCACAAGATTTCAAGAATTATATTTTACTGTAGCGCTTTGAGAATTTACGATTCAATGATTTCTTCAGGTATCACGATGCAAATTTTCCTTCCTGCCGATCGATTCCCGATGAGTGTCCTATGAAATATTCACGCCAATCTTACGTGAGAGAAGTGCGATTTTTGCTTTTGCGCAAGGTTTCGCGAGATTCAATAATGAAGGTTCTTGCGCATCGTAAATCGCGAAACATCGCCGAATAATTACGTCCGCAAAACTCGACACCGGCTTATTATGTGTCAAACTTGACTTTCTGACTTACTGCGGTAGTCGATATTACGGAACAACCATGAAATTCGTTCCGGTTCTCAGACCTTCGTGTGTCCTCGACGCCGTCCACGCCTTCCTGTTTTGCTAATGAGACACTACGCGATCCGGTTTTCGGACCTGGTTCGCTCACGCGCCGTGAATCAACCCCTGTGAAAATGCGTCCGTTCAAC